CCCCCCCCCCCATTAATGCATTGCTTTTTCTTTTTTAAAACATCTTTTTTTCTTTCCAGGGAAGAAAATTAAGTGAAGAATCCACAGATGAGTCCGAGGTAAAATCAAGAACTGTTCAGTTTACTAATGTAATTGAAGCAGAGTCCATTGTGATTTTGAAATAATGCATTTGGTAACAAAATATCATTTGTTTGAAAGAATGTGTGCACGAGCTTACTTTTAAAGCAAAACACTTAAAAAAGACTTTTGTTAGGTTTTGAAGAATACAGTTACTTATGTTTAAAATTATGGTTATAAAACTATTTTTACACTTTTTTTTCTGGTCAAACGTTAGTGGAAAATGTTCTCAGTTAAAATGGTTTGAACTGCTGTCTTTGGTTACTCTGATAGTTAAAATAAAAATGTATGTAAAGTTAGCTGAGAAAACCTTGCATATTCCACTTTAATTTATTTTTTATCATGTACAAACTGTGTCCCAATGCTTTTCAGGGGTGCTGCACAGACATGTAATGAGACATTCACAGTAAAGCATTTGGCATTAGAGCTGTCACCATTTGTAATGTCACATGATAATATAAGAATCCTATATCGTAAATACAGTTTTGCTCATAAGTTTACACACCCTTGTAGAATATGCAAGATGGTAATTGTTTTAACAAAATAAGATGAATCAAAAAAAAAATAGCATGTTACCTTTTATGTAGTAATGTACAGTTTCACATAATGGATGCTTACATAGTCACAAGACCAAAATAATGGTCCAGAACTATGTGTTGTTACCTTACCGGATGATCAATGACTGTTATGCTTTGTGATAGTTGTTCCTTGTTTGCCCTGAGCAGTTAAACTACCCCACTGCTCTTCGGAAAAATCCATCAGGTCAGGTCAGATGTGTACTTAATGTAAAAATCTGTTGTGTGACACAGGACAGTGCTACTGTCAGTTTTTATGATCCCTCTTGTTTTGTTGAAATGATCTTGCAATCTGCAAGGGGTATGTAAACTTATGAGCATAGCTGTATAACTTGGCTGTAACATATTCTGTGTACAGTGCCACTGCAAAAGGTCATATTACATTGTGTCCATTTTCTTGAGTTCTGTTTCAAGAAGAGACTTTTGAAAAAAAGGATAGCGTTTGACTTTAAGTGATACAGTGAATGAAATATCAAGTAGACATTCTAGTCCTCAATTCAAAATGAAAACAGAAAGAAGGAAACAACAGCCTTGCCCTCCTCGTAAATGAAATCTCAGTCCGTGGAGCAATCTATCCTATCTCCTGTCCACAAACTGTCTTCTGTCTGCACCCAGGCACCTTGGAGAGCATGATTGTATTTTCCTTTGGATTCACTGTAAACCACAGTTTGTTTTGTTCATAATTGTAGAGCTCTGACTTATGGAAGTTTATTTATGCTGTGGAATGAATGAATGAATGAGTTTAAATCTCACAATTCTTAATTTTTTCATAATTTGAGATGTAATCACACAATTCTGAGAAAAAACTGTGGTATATAAACCTGCATATCTGCTAAGAAAAGTCTGAATTGTGAAATATAAAAGAAAACAAAAAGTCAGAAGTGAAATAAAAAGTTTCAATTACCTTTTTTTATTTTCATTTTTTCCGTGGCTCTAGCAAGTTCATTTTTCATCTCACAACTGGGCCTTTTTTCTTTGCAATCCTAACTTTTTTCTCAATTGATCTATAAATGGGATATAAACTCTCAGTCCTAAGACGAAAAGTAGAAATTGTGAAATATAAGCTCGCAATTGTAAGAAAAGAATTGTGAGCTAAAAAAGGTGCTTGTTTCCACCGCGGAAAAAATAAAATAAAAAAGGTAATTATTTACATTTAGTCATTTAGCAGACACTTTTATCCAACGTGAATTATGCAAATTATGACTTTTTATCTCACATTTGTGACTTTTTTAGTTTATATTTCGTAATTCCGACTTTTTTTTTTACGCATAAACTTTATTAATTAGAAATTCTGAGAATAAAAGTCCAAATTGTGAGACATAAACTTAGAATCGGGAGGGGAAAAAGGAGCATGTTTCTGCCACGAAAAAAAAAAGGTAATTGCAACTTTTTATCTCACAATTCTGACTTTTTCTTGTAATTGCAAATTTATATCTCACGGTTTGGACTTTTCTTTTCAGAATTGCAAGATAGTTTATATCTCGTAATTCTGAGTTCGTATCTTGCAATTATGAAAAAAAAGTCAGATTTGTGAGATATAGGCTAAACTTATATATAGGCTTTTTTTTTTTTTCATGCCGAAAATAAGCTTCCATACTGTCTCTATCCCCTCGTCTATCTCTCCCTAACACTTCCTGATGTGACCATGATGTGTTGAAGGCTGTGTGGAAATGTGCTCTCAGATGGACCACAGATGGAACATTTTTGGAGCTTGACAGCATTCATGACACCCCACGAAAAAGCCCTTCTATCCTCATGAAAGAAGAACGCACATCTCATGGCTTAAAGAAAACATGCCACAGCCTCTAAACATGACGCAGTCACGCAGTATGAGGAAATGAGAAAAGATGCTGGCGGGGTTTGACATTAATCTGTGGTTTTGAGGCCCAATGCTTCACTATAGCATTCCAGCAAAGTTTGTAACTAGAAAGACAGACAGAATGAGGGATGAGCGAAAGAGGAGAGTGTGGATGGTCACACCACTCCAGAAAAGGGGCAATTAAAGACAGACTTCCCTTCATCCCCTGCTCCCCAGGGCACCAATTAGGAGCGGCAGGGAATGAGGCACAACATTCATCCACCACATCGGCGTGGCGATGGCAAACACTAACAAGAGGAAGAAATTATGGGATATGAAACAGGAGAGATATTATCCACCCCTCCCCACCGTAGAAAGTTTTTCAGGTTTTTTTCCCGCCTCTCTCTGTCTCCGTCCCTGTCTGTAATAGCTTTGCAGACCATGACAAATGCTCAGGCATTAGAAATTTCACATCTGGACACAACAGGAAATGGACAATGGTGACGAGAAGAAACAAATGTTTGATCAAATGAAACACTACCCAAACCGCCAGTCTGCCTGTGATCTTATCTTATTCATAGTTCTGCTGCTAGCTACTTATTTGCATTGGAGTGACTGGAATTTTCTGGCCCAAAATACACTTCTACTATTCAAAAGTTTGAGGTTGAGATTATTTCATGTTTTTGAAAGAAGTCTCTTAAGCTTCAGAGACTGCATTTATTTGATCTAAAATATAGTTACAAAAGTGTATATGATTATAATTTAAAATAACAGTTTTCTATTTATTAAATATATTTTAAAATGTAATTTATTTCTGTGATAACAGCCATTACTTCTTACAGGTTCCTTCTGAAATCATTCTAATATGCTGATTTGGTGCTCAGAAAACATTTCTTATTATTATAAATGTTGATGACTGTTGTGCTTTTTGTAGAAGCCGAGCTACTTTTTTAGGATTCTTTGATGAATAGAAAGTTCTACATCTTTTGTAGCATTAAAACATCTTCACTGCCACTTTTGATTAATTTAATGCATTCTTGCTGAATAAATTTATTTAAAAAAAAAAAATTGTCCTCCCACATTACAATGCATTTGTAATGTATCAAATGAAAACTTAATAAAGTAATTAATATTTTACTGCACACGTGTTATTACAGTTGGTCAGATTTGAAATGCAACGCTCAAATTTGTTACATACTATAGCAGGAGTTGATGGAAAGCTAATGATTAATAAAATCATTATAAATGTAACATTTAAATATATAGTTATAAAAACAATCAAAATAGAGCACTTCCTAATAAAATATTTTATGAAATATTTTATTTGTCTACCTGCATGTGACCATTATCCAAAATTAGAGAACCGTGAACATGCAAATGTTGTCAAATTATTGAAATATTCTCTCAATAATTCTCAAGGGATGCCTCAAGGAAATCATTTAGATTAAAGAGGTTCTGCTGACCAAAAGGTTTGGGATTCCCTGACGTTACTGTAGCATGAAACAGGGTCCCATTCACATTGCTATATCATGCTTAATTATTACAGGATATCATTATTCTTTTAAGACTAAGGAATTACACCCTAATTAAAGTGACAAAATAAAATGCTAATTAATTATGTGTGATAATTATTGTATTCTGGTGCCTAATTAACTAAAGAAGAATGGGTGTGTTTGGGTTTTTGTACAGGAGGAGGACACAGAGGAGGAGCCTAAACTGAAGTACGAGAGGCTGACCAATGGCGTGACAGAGATCTTGCAGAAGGATGCGGCCAGCTGCATGACAGTGCATGACAAGGTGTTTATAAAAGCTATTTATAAAAAAGCATGTTTTTAAGAAGAAAAAAAATTGTAGGACATGATGCGCATATACAGTACAGTTTTTGTTGATGTATTCAATAATGTACAGAAATAGAAATGATTTAAATAGAAACTTAATTGTAACTTGTTTTTTAATTGTAAAATCTTTTTTCTTAAATGCAGATATTTTTGGGAGCAGTTTATTATTATTATTATTATTATAAATTTTTATTATTACACTCTTGTATAGTACTGAATATAATATTTTTGACTTGTCTGCTCAACACCATACTTTTCTAAGTCAAGTCAAGTCACCTTTATTTATATAGGGCTTTTAACAATACAGATTGTGTCAAAGCAACTGTACAGCATTAATTAAATAGTGTGTCATTAATGCATAATGACAATAGTAAACACTCAATTTTCAGTTAAAGGCAGTTCATCATTGAATTCAGTGATGTTCTTAGAGAAGTGCTTATGCACAGCGCTCACAGGCCACCAGCCTTTCGCTGATTTACTGTTTATTGCCTCTACTTTTAGATTTCTATGTCTTTTTTTTGCCTGTCTTCTTTCCGTTTTTTTCCGGGCTTGATATTTTTGTTGGTGGAACATTCTACGTGGGCTGGTTAATCGTCATGGCAGCCGGTTCACTCATGCACGGACGCTGTGGAGGAATAGTCATACCTAGTTATGTCTCCTCACCTGATGTTTTATTAACCGCTATTGATTTTTATTCTTTTCCCCCCTGTTTTCCTGCTTTTCCCTGGGGACCCCCCCCCCCCCCTTCCATCTCTCCAAAAAAGGCAAGCTTGCAAGAAGAGGAGACGTTGAAAAGCTGAATTTCCAATGAGAGTCCCCCCTTTTTTCACTCTTTCACCTTCTCTCACTTTGTCTATCTCTATATTTCCCTCTTTCTGTCTCTTCCCTGTAGTCTTTTATGCATGCGCTCCAATGTGCATTCCACCACCTAGACACACAAGAACACGCTCACGCTAGTGACCCACCTGCCTAATGTTGCCTCATATTTTAAGTGCCAGGAATCCGAATTTCATTTCAGCAATTCCATTTTGATAAATCCCTTTAAGGCTGGTGAGGCCACCCCTTTTATTTATTTATTTTTGGCTGATTTTATTTGGGGAGATTGCGGGGGGGGGTTCTGTTGGACATGCTCGACTGTGCCTGTAAATATAAGCATTTCATTATAGACTGCAGTGAAGCATGGGGCGGCTCAGTGTGCTGCGACAGGGAAAGGTCTGTGCACGTGTAAGCAGGTGTGTGTGTGTGTATATGCGCAGGGTAACCTCAGTTTCATACCTGGACTCATTCTGTGTGTGTGTTTTATAGTGTGTCTGGATGCTTTTGTAAAGCTGAGCCAGTTTGCAAATGGCAGAGCAATAGACCCAAATTTGCAGGGGTGTCAAACTAATTTTAGATTGGTGGTCGGACTGGACTGAATGTCTCCTTATGTGGCCTGATTTCATTTTATTTGTTTAACCTTTTAGTGACACAATGCAGAGCGCATGCACAACAGATGCTCTTCTGTTGCTAATAAAATCCAAAATCAACATTATGCTACTTTTAATATTAACTAATAATTATGTAATAAAAAAGAGCACATGGAATTTACTAATTTCATTCACCAGGGCCCCTATGAAATTGGTAATTAATTGGAAATATCAAACAATAGTAGCCTATTGATGAGAAAAAGAGAACCCGCTGCTTTGGGACAGTTTTTATACCTACTGATCCAAATGAAAAAGTGTTAATCTTCCGAATGCCATGTCAACATGTAATTATAATAAAAGTTCTGGGTAACATTTTAGCATAGGAACCAGTTCTCACTATTAAGTAGTTGCTTATTAGCATGCATATTGTCTATTTATCAGTACTTATAAAGCACATATTCTGCATGACCATATTTTACATCCCTAATCCTACCCAATACCTAAATTTAACAACTACCTTACTAGGCAGTAATTAGGAGTTTATTGAGTCAAAAGTCGTAGCTAATAGTTAATTAAGGCAAGGCAAGGCAAGGCAAGGCAAGTTTATTTGTATAGCACATTTCATACACAATGGTAATTCAAAGTGCTTTACATAAAATACAATAAAAACAATAATCACAACAATAAAACAAGGAATTTAAAAACTTTGAAAATTATATATATAAAAAAAAAATTTGATTTAAGAGGTTTAAAATGAATTTAAGAAAACGATTATACATATAATATAGTGCAATCAGTTCGGACATCGCACAGTGCTCATTCAATAAATGCACAGCTAAACAGATGAGTTTTGAGTCTGCATTTAAATGTGACTAATGTTTTAGCACATCTGATCTCTTCTGGAAGCTGATTCCAACTGCGGGTGGCATAATAACTAAAAGCACATTCCCCTTGTTTTGTGTGAACCCTTGGTATTTCTAACTGACTCGATCCTAATGATCTGAGTGGTCTGTTAGGTTTATATTCAGTGAGCATATCTGCTATATATTTAGGTCCTAGGCCATTGAGTGATTTATAAACGAGTAAAAGTACTTTAAAATCAATCCTAAATATAACTGGAAGCCAGTGTAAGGTCCTGAGGACTGGTGTAATATGCTCAGATTTTCTGGTTCTAGTCAGAATTCTGGCAGCAGCGTTCTGGATGAGCTGCAGCTGTCTAATGGTCTTCGTGAGAAGGCCGGTGAGGAGACCATTACAATAGTCCACCCTGCTGGTGATAAAGGCATGAACAAGTTTCTCCAAGTCTTGACTGGAAACAAAACCTCTAATTCTTGCAATGTTTTTGAGATGATAGTATGCTGATTTAGTTACAGCTTTGACATGACTACTGAAACTAAGGTCTGTCTCCAGAATCACACCAAGATTCCTGACTTGATTTTTAGTTGTTAGACCCCTAGAGTCAAGGTATGCATTCACCTTGAGAACTTCATCTTTGTTTCCAAATGCAATGACTTCGGTTTTTTCTTTGTTTAACTGAAGAAAGTTCTCGCACATCCAACTGTTAATTTCATCAATGCATTGGCAGAGGGAGTCAATGGGGCTGTAGTCATTTGGAGATAAGGCTTGGTAAATCTGGGTATCATCTGCATAGCTGTGATAGGCGATTTGGTTCTTTCTCATTATTTGACTTAGTGGGAGCATATACAGGCTAAACAAGAGCAGTGCAAGAATTGAGCCTTGTGGGACTCCGCATGTCATGGACGTCCACTTAGACTTATGCTCTCCTATACTCACATAATAGCCTCTCCCTTCTAAGTATGACCTGAACCATTTAATTACCATGCCAGAAAGCCCGACCAAGTTTTCCAGTCTCTCTAGTAGTATGTTATGATCGACAGTATCAATTAACAGTGAGAACTGGACCTTAAAATACAGTGTGACAATGTTCTGCTATTTGAAGATGTAGTTAATATTGAGAACACTACTACTGAGTGACTTTTTGAAATAAACATTAAAAATGTATAATTTTTATTAAAGGGGTCATATGATGCTATTTTAAAGATAATTATTTTTTGTATTTGGTGTAACAGAATATGTTGACATGCTTTAATGTTCAAAAAACACATTATTTTTCAAATACTGTACATTATTGTAGGTCCTCTATGCCCCGCCTCTCTCAAACGCGTAGTTTTCTACAAAGTCCCTCCTTCCGACAAGTGCAAGTCTGCTCTGATTGGCCAGTTGACCCAGTGCATTGTGATTGGCCGAACACTGCAAGCACTCGTCGGAAATGTAACGCCCCTTACCATAATCGCGAGCTTCATCTTTCAAAATAAATGTAAAGACAGTAAATAATGTCATTAGTTTTACCATCAGTTCAAGCCCGAAAGGGGAACAGACACCGTAATGATGCAGTACACAAGCCGCGGTTAAGACAGCTGACTCCACTTTGATGTGATGCTGTCTCTCTCTCTCTCTCGCTCTCTCTCTCTCTCTCACACACACACACGTGCGCGCGCACACACACACACACACACAATGGGCAAAACTCCGCATTTGAACAGTCAATAGCAAATACTTAAACTAGTAACAAAACATACTTACAGTAGCTGATTCAGAAGCGCCAGATTGTCATAGCAAAGTCAGAATTACCTCCTCTCCTAGGTTCATGAAACGGTCGTCCGTAAAATGCATTGCTGTTCTGTTGTAAGTCATCTTAAAGATTCCTAAATGCATCTACTTTCGGAAGGCCAAATAAAGTGCTTTTGCTTTCGCCTAGAAACACACAGCGTCTCCCTGACATGGCTGCTTCAACACTAACTGCGGTTTCTGAAATCACGCACATTTGGGTGCATTATGCAAATATTCCCACATAGTGAGGTAGATATGTGGGGGCGTGTTAGAACGAGCCATTTTAGGGGGGCGTGGCAGAGTCTTAACTTTGATAAAGAATATCTCTTTGGTTTTGAGACTTTAGTTTTTGCAACTTCAGGGATCTTATCTATGCACAATCAGCTTGTAATACTCCAAAGAGAAAGGAAAACTTGAAATCGCATCATATGACCCCTTTAAAACACATTCCCACTCTCATTATATCATTGTATTATCTCATTCATCAGCACATGTTATTCTAAAGTGGAAAAATTGTTTGTAATCTTTAATGAATGTATAATACTGTAACTTAATAATACTTAAGTTATATATAATATATATATATAATACTCTGACTCTGAATATCACCTAAACCTTGTTATAAGCCCCTCCCCTCCAACCACCTTTCATAGAACTCTTTGCACTATCCTATTAATTACTTTTGCATATAATTACAGTTTCTTTAAATTGTTTGAACATCTTGTGTCAGTTAACAAATTAATAGGAAGTTAAATAGGTTACAACGTTTCACAATGTCGCCTGCAAATAAATGGAAATGCATGCACTATTTAGGAGTAAACAGCCTTCAAAATCTAATTAATTTAGTTTTTTAATGACATAAATTTTGAATTGGTTGGTGGCGATACTGGCAATTTACATGAGATAATAGCTAACGTTTTCATACGTTAAACTCTGAAATGTAATTGCATTAGTCTGACAGGCAGAGTGTTGGTGTGGAGGGCAGAGGTGTGTGACCTGTGGTGCATATATTATGTTGAAGCTTTTTGATATGTCGGGGGAAAAACGCTATTTCACACTGGGCCGCTCTGATAAATAGGCTTTCCTGTCCTCCAGCAATTTCACACTTTTTGCCCTCGAAGGGTCCAGCCGAAAGCACACACACAAACACACACTCTCACATACACGCACAAACACTGAGGCCTCACAGCCATGCCTGGTAAATCTAATTTTTAATACCTCCTGCACAGCTTTTAACTCTGTATAAGTGTAGGATGTCCCGTGGTTTTGACTTGTGTGTCTGACATGTTTGTGTCTCCTGTTGCTTTCAGTTCCTGGCTCTTGGGACACACTTTGGAAAGGTTTACCTTTTGGATATTCAAGGAAATGTTACACAGAAGTTTGAAATTGTAAGTCTGAAATGTGATTGTTATAGATATGTCCATGTTTGAGCTAGGTTATGTCTGATTATAATATTTTTATGTTACTTTTGTCCTTCATCTTTTTTCTTCTATGCTCATAGAGTCCAGTGAAAATAAACCAGATCAGTTTGGATGAGAGTGGCGATCATGTTGGCATCTGCTCTGAAGATGGAAAGGTGAGAATTCCCTTCATTCACTTCAGCTCCAATTGTTCTTTAACTTCCTGTATTAGCCCTTTGTAATAAACTGACCACATTCCCATCTTTAGTCCAAATCCGAGCCCTCAATTTATTCCTAAAATCTGAGAGCAATGACTTATCAATTAATACTATTCCTGTCCCTTCTTCTAAAATCCAAGGGCAAATTTTTTTTACAAATTATTCAAGAACAAGTCCTACTTCTGTAAATCATGTTAATCATCAGGCTAGTCTAAGAGGTTTCTCAGGAATAAACTGCTCAATTATGATTTCAACCAACAACCAGTTACAGCCAAATTGTTAAAAATATAATTGGCTAGTTTGGTCTGAAATTAGAATCATGGAAATTAAGCAATGAATTTAAAAAAAATCCTTTGTTATCATGATTTTTAAAAAATATAGGTAACACTTTAGAATAGGGATTACTTATTCACTATTAACTACAAATCCCTCAATAAATTCCTGATTTGTTGCTTATTAGTTAGTACGGTAGTTGTTATGTGCCCCTATTATGGATTTTTGAAAATTACCTTTCATGCAGTGTGTAACACAGCTCTAAGTGAATGAAAACATTCTGCAATGTTTTAAATCTGAAAGTGCACCGTGTATAAAGTTATTGTCTCTCGAAAGCGCGGACTCTGAATCATTGAAACGAGTCGTTTTTTAAAACGAATCCCAAGCCGTTTCATTTTGACGTCAACATGAATCATTAGCATATTGCCCGCCCACTTGTTGGTCTTTTCGTGTTGGTTTGAATGAAAGTGCAAATTCATTATTTGCCACTAGGTGCAGCTTTTGGAGTGGTAAAAATAGCAGTTTCCCCGGTAACGCTGTACACAAAGCAGCACTGCGCTCACAAACGCTGCTTTATCAGGCATTACAGGCATGATGAAATGAAAATGAGACCAATTGGACCAATCACCGCAGATTAGCGTCACGCAAAGGAGGGGTTTGGAAAAATGAATCGTTGAGCGAATCGTTTGGGAGTCGTTGAGCAAGTAAGGTAAAAATAAATGCATATTATAAGACAATGAAGTGTTTTTTGACCTTACATGCATGTCAACCTGTTGTTACAGACTGCCAAAACCAAAATATGAACCTTTAAATGAATAGAAATTGTAGTCATAAAAAAAAAAAAAATTTTTTTAAATAAAAACAATTGAAAAAAATTGAAGAAATTAATGAATTCATTAAAATGATAAAAGGTATAATTAAAGGGACCATACATAAAAAGACTAGTGAACTATTGACATTTTAAAGCATGTTCAGGTGTCTGTATCACAATGGTGGAGTGATTTTATACAGTTCCAGCAAAGTATGTGAGGTTGCGGTAGTCTGCTGCATCTTCCACAGCCCAGCACTCATAACTAGCCTGCAAAATGGATATTTGCATCATGCAAAACACAATCAGCACTAATTCTTAGGGTGTGTTTATGCCATATCCTGATTTGCAGGTTTATTTAGCAAATCGGGTGCAAAATCCACAGCATGCGCAAATAAACAACGCCATCAGCATTGCACAATTCATTCTTAGTGAATTTCACATGAGAGTCTAAGGAGTTGTTTACTTGAGTTTTCATATCTTTCTCTGTTTGCAAGATATGATGCAGTGCCTGTCTTCCCACTCAATACCGACTCCATCAACTCTAACACCTGCAGAAACAGCATGCACACATTTGGTCCATTTTAAAATGTGTTTTAAAAAAGAACTCCTCTCCTCCTCGCTCCTTCTGTGATTTCTCCATCTATCTGCTCATTGATCACGAGCTGGCTGTTATCAGTCCACAGAGGCTAATCATCAGCACCTTGTGTGGCTTTCTCAGGCTGATCTGTGGCATGATAGACCACGTCTATCCCTGTTACTATGGCAGAGGCGAGATCTTGTCACACCTACACCAATTAAAATCGATTTAGAGGCCATTGTTCGCTCCTCTGCACTGTTAATCCTATCTTACCAAATGCGTTTCTACCGTTGTTTGGCAAAATGTGACATGTAAGATTTTTTTAAGCGTAATTTTTTTCATTATTGGGTTTTTCCAAAAAGTAGAAACTGTACTTTATACATAAGATAAACAATTGAACAATTACATTTAAATTTAACTATTTAAAATCAGTTTTGGAGTGGTAAAAATAGCGGTTTCCCCGGTAACGCTGTACACAAAGCAGCACTGCGTTCACAAACGCGCTTTATCAGGCATTACAGGCATGATGAAATGAAAATGAGACCAATTTTCAAAACAATATTAAAGATAAGACATTTCATAATGTCTTTAGTAAATAAATGGAACATTTAGGATTAGGTAGCCTTCAACAAACTTGTGATAGATTGGTGTGTGCCTCATAATTAATAAATATTTATAATATACTTTTTAATTTGCTCCTAGAGTGTCTAAACTGTGTCACTAGAAAAGTATACTTGAGTTTATTTTATTTTATTGTATGTTAAACTGTTAAATGATTAAACTATTATTAATTATTAAATGTTAAACTATTTGATATCGAGGCATTTGTTTGCTCACTGTTAATCTCAACTACACTTACCAGCTGCTTTGCTATTGATGTTATACAATATATGACACATTTCTTAAGAGGAAGAGTATTTTATTTAGGTTTTTCCAAAAAGTAGAAACCTGCACTTTAAAATAGATGATTTTCAGAATAGCTAAGCTTGTCGTCTGACCAGAAAAACAGGAACAATTTGAAGTCAGTAGTTTCCCTCCCCCACCATCATCTTAAATGCAAGAGAATGCTTTACTTTTCAATGGAGTTGTACTTTTTTTGAGACTTCGCACTCATTTTTGAGTTTCCTCTTGTTTTATACAGACAGGTATATGTGAAATGTTGTGTTAATGCTTGTTTGTAGCCGTTGGGGACTGCAGCACCGCTAGTGATTAAGTCAGTAGCATAAAGGCGTGCGAGGGCAGAAAGAGTGGACCTTTCCACTAATTGGGAGTCTGGCAGATGGTTAACTAGCCCACTGGATGGTCTGATGCTTTGCCCAAGTCAACTGTTATCGCAGAGCGCATCTCTGGACCACAGTGATTTTACCTTAAAAAGACATCTCTGTGTCTCTTTCTCCATTTCTCTCTCTCATCTTTTCCAGGTGCAAGTGGTTGGCCTGTACACTAGGGAGGGCTTCCATGAAAACTTTGACTGTCCCATCAAGGTAACTTATTGCCGTTAATGCAAGTCGTTGGTCCCTCGGCAATGTTTTTGCTGCCTGATGGGAAATAGCCCTTTGATTTCGATTTCCCGTCACAGCAAACATTGATAATTCTCGAAAACAATGTAATTTCAGCCTGCTACTAGTCTTAATTGATTTCTCTAGGGCATTTCATATCATGCATGAGCCGCCTGTTTGTTGAGCATGAGTGATGTCACCTATGGCACACATTAAAGAGAGCCAGTGCTGTCATCTTCTTGTATCGATACTTTTGTGTATTGGACTGTGAGGATCAATCCTTTAACTTTTCCTGGGTTTAAAAGCACTTTATTGAACATGTTTCAGACCGGCTGTAGTCTAACCCCCTCTGAGGCACTATATGGCTTTAGAAATACTGGAGTGGACATTGATATTAACTCAGGTGTTGCCGTAAACGGAACTGAAGTCTCTTGTTCAATTCCAGGTCGTGGCGCTACACCCTCAGTTCAGCAAATCCAACAATAAACAGTTTGTGACTGGAGGAAATAAGGTAAGTCCAGTTTCACAATCACCTGGGACTCAAAACTCACACTGTGAGTGTTAAAGGCGCAGTTTCAAAACTTGTCTATGTTATTTCCGCGATCTCATTGCACTCATTGTCCAATTAGTTCCTCTCTACTTTTAACAAAAAAAACGCATTTGTTTGGCAACTCTCATATTTTGACTCAGAAGATGCTAAAAGCTGATATCAGGTCTGCATTGGGTCCCAATCCCACATTTAGTGGTTATAACAAGTGTTCTAGAAATTTTGAGCCTTGGTGCTCATGTGGGAGATGCAGGTTCAAATCCAGTTAGAATCATGGTCTGATTACATTTTCGCTCTCTTTCTTCCCAAACATTTCCTGTCTCCTCTTTCACTGTCATTATTTACTAGCACAAAAGGAAACAAAAGCACATTTGTTTGGCACTGACTCGTGCATGTCATTTTAGGTTTGAATCAGTATGTGACTACATTACGATTCAAAAGTTCAGGGTCAGTAATTTTTTTATTAAGACACAGATACTTTTATTCAGCCAGGATGCGTTAAATTGATCAAAAGTGACAGTAAAGACATTTATAATGTTACAAAAGATTTATTTTCAAATAAGTGCTGTTATTTTGAACTCCTGAAAAAAGCATCATGGTTTCCACAAAAATATAAAGCAGCACAACAGTTTTCAATTCAACATTAATATTAATTAGGATTCTTTCTTGAACAGCAGATCGGCATATTATGATTTCTCATCATGTGACAAGACTAAATATGTACAAGTATAAATTGCTTTTTTTTTTTTTAAATACTGCATTTTGATCAAATAAATGCAGTCTTGGTGCGATTTCTCTTAAAAACATAAAATCTTAACAACCCTAAGCTTTAAGATTGGTTGCAGGCTTCTTGCAAAAATATAAGAATCACTATGTACAAGTATAAATTGCTTTTTTTTTTTTTAAATACTGCATTTTGATCAAATAAATGCAGTCTTGGTGCAATTTCTCTTAAAAACATAAAATCTTAACAACCCTAAGCTTTAAGATTGGTTGCAGGCTTCTTGCAAAAATATAAGAATCATTTATTGAAAAAAACACATTCATCAACCACTGAATTTTCAAAAGGAAGTGTCTCTGTTAATGTGGTTTGAATGCCTTAAAATAAAAACAAAAGCCACATTCATACCTGAGGTCTAAACATATATTTTGTGGTCTCCATCAGTTGATGCTCTTGATGTTTCGACACTGAGGGTTAAGCTAAATTATTTGAATGGAATCATTTTTTGTCATGTTGAGTGCCGTGTATAGTGGTGACTCAAACTGAAGCTGTTTGGCATGAAACACTCTTACCGTCTTGGCCTTAGACTGGGGTCAACATCAAGGAGAGAGAGAGTGGTCCATTTTCTCCAAAGTGTTGTTCACTAGAGAGATGTTGTTTCTTCTTGCGCAATAAATAACTGTCATTACATAGAGTGCCATAGTGTTTGCAACATGTAGAACACTCTTTGGCTTATGGACTAAACAAATACGCTCATTTTTCAAAGGACACAATGCTACCGACTGAAGATGCCACAGTCCGATACATTCCAGTCTCTGTACATCTATAGAAATGAAAACAGGGTTTGTGTCTGTTGTAAAAGCACTCAGAAGTAGTTGATCTGTTTGCATGCACTGATCAGACATCTTGTGGCTGGAAAAAAAACTTCAATTGCGAAGTGAATTTGAATAAATGCCACTGGTTCTTTGTAAAGTGGACCGTTAGAGATTTTGTTGAGACATACAAATCTTGAACCACTCAAATAGAGTCTTCTCAGTTTCTGTAAATCATAGATTGTTATCCTCTGTGCCATGATTGATTCTCATAAAATGGCTTCACGCTGTTACTGCATTGTGCTTATCAGAAGCAATTAACGGCGTCCATTGTGTGCCACGGTGGCCAAGTCCTCTGCATTTTCCTTCCGCTTCTGCTTGTTTCCTTCTCTCTCCCTGGCTTAAGGTCCCCATAATGCAGCCCTGCCATGAAAATCAATACGGCTTCCACTGAAGACGCATCTTGTCAAAGGCAATTCAATTCCATCTGCTCGGCTCTTGGAGTGTCATCTCCTATTGCTGCGCTGTGATCTGTTAACATAGCCAAAAGTGTAGAACTGAAGCGACATTGAACCGTCTTTCCTTTCAGTCACTTTCTCTGCAGTCAGGTCAGGTTGGCTGTGTGGTGATTGTATGTGGCATTTTTGACACTTTCGATTCAAGGTTATCCACCAAGTGCGTTGCCGCTTTGTGCGCGTGATTATTATCGCACGAACCCCTCAGAAAATGTTGTTTTTCACCAAATAATATCCGACTTATCAGAGTAAACCAAAGCATTAAATACCTTTTTGAAGAAATTCTGTTGTTTGAGTCTCTTCTCTTGTCAGTTCATGAGATGTCAATACAGTATCATCGTCTCTCATGTGCTTTTCAACTGTGTTGTACTGCGTACCTGCGTAAGTAACTTTATAAATGTCCCATTATCTAAAGGTTGAACCAAATGTTGCCTTTTTCTAAAATGTATTTTGATACTGCTTGTAAAATGATTTTTATTGAATTTCTGCCTGAATGTGACCTAAACACCATGAAAAGGCCAATGAATCTACCTAACACACTGATCCAATCCAATACTTACTGCAGTATTAGCAACAAAAAAATACTACTACTACTAATAATTATACCATATTAGACCAAAAAAAAAAAAAAGCCACTGGGGCAACCTAACCTAACCCATTCAAAAGGCTTATATTTGTACTGAATTTAACCCCAAAAGGTGGTGCATATTAGTACCTTAAATATATGTTACCATTCAAAGGGTTAGGGGTCAGTAGGATTCTTTCTTTCTTTTTGAGATAGTAATAGTTTTATTTAGCAAAGGTGCATTAAATTCATCAATAGTGACAGTAAAGACATATAATGCTACAGAACACTTCTATTTCAAATAAACACTCTTTTGTTTGAACATTCTTTTTAATCAAAGAATCATGAAAAAAAATACAGTATCACAGTTCCCACAAAAATATTAAGCACCACAACTATTTTTGACATTTCTAATTATTATCATACATTTTTTGAACACCAAATCAGCATTCTATAGATCATGTAACACTAGATGTAAGACTTGAGAAATGGCTGCTGAAAATTCAGCCTTATCATCATAGTAATAATGACATCAACAGCTATTTTAAATTGTCATAATTTTAATGGTTTTTACCCGAATAAATATAGCCGTGGTGAAGAGACATCTTTTAAAAACATAAAAAAAACACCTCACTGGCCCAAAAAGTTGGAGTGGTAGTATATATGAATAACTTTTAAAAGGGTACCACCCCAGTGACTGCTGTTCTATATATTTTTCTTTTTCAAGAGTAATAGCAAACAATGAAAACAATACAAATATTCTCAAATCAGAATTAAAAGACACATGTAGTCACTGACTTTCTTGTGTTGTAGCTATTTATGCTCTGTATTCTACTGCCCTCTGGTGTTGTAATGCAAACACTGTGGCCTATTCTGTTTTGTGTTGGTGAATCTCTGTCAGCAAATGCTCACTAATGTTAAATTAATGAAATATGTCCTATAGATTTTGCTTTATGAGAGGAACTGGCTGAACCGTTGGAAGACCTCTGTTCTGCATGAAGGAGAGGGAAACATCACCAATGTGAAATGGAGAGCCAACCTCATTGCCTGGGCAAACAATGTGGTACAATCAGATTTAGACACACTGGACATGTTAATTAAGATGCCTTACTAATAATGATTTGATCTAAACTGTAGTTGATGTGTTTTAGGGTGTGAAAATTTATGACATCAGCAGTAAGCAACGCATCACTAACGTGTTGCGGGACAACACCAATCTTAGGCCGGATATGGAGACCGAGTTCTTCATTAGTGGACTGGCACCTTTGGCAGATCAGCTGGTCACTCTGTACTATGTCAAGGAGAACTCTGAGCACATGGTAATATTACACACACTCACCAGAGCTAAGATCGGGGACCTCACGACATGTCCAAGGGAGCTGCAAGATGACTTTAAATAAATTCAAATGAGACAAAGCAAGCTATACGCTGACAACATGTTAATTTTAATTCATTTCCTCGCAACTGGCGGTTTATTTAAGAACCAGGATTCTCATTGTCTTGGAAAACCTGGATATATAACAGAAACGTATGGAAATTAATAAAATCTTAAAAAGTAATAGAAAATCAAAGTCATGGAAAGCTTTTGTAATGTGTATGAATGTATGTATACACACCTTTATAACAAATAATTACGTTTCTAAAAAGTTATGTCAAAGATTTTATTGGGTAGAAATTACTGTTTGTGAGTACAAAATATATTTAAAAAATAAATCCCAGTTATCACAAACTGCTATAAATGTCACATAAATGCATAATTATTGGGAAACACTTTACTTAAAGCCTTTATGCACAATGCATTATAAAAGTACTTTTAATGCATTCATTATGCCTTGCAATGCACCTTAAAATGCATTGTAAAATCTCATGAATAATTTTAACCACAGTTAATACATTATAACACTTATCAATCATTGTTACACCATGCATTTTAAATTCGGTTGTAATTATTTTCGACAAGATATAATGTATTGCAATACACATTATGAATAATTATAATGCATTATAATCCTTTTAATAACCCTTTATAATGCATTGTACATAAAGGCTTTAAGTAAAGTATTACCAATTAAGTATTGGGAAGTCGTGGCCTAATGGTTAGAGAGTTGGACTCATAACCCAAAGGTTGTGGGTTCGAGTCTCGTACCGGCAGGGATTGTAGGTGGAGTGAATGTACAGCGCTCTCTCCCACCTTCAATACACTGACTGAGGTGCCCTTGAGCAAGGCACCGAACACCCAAATGCTCCCCGGGCGCCGTAGTATAAATGGCTGCCCACTGCTCCGGATGTGTGTTCACGGTGTGTGTGTGTGTTCACTGCTGTGTGTGTGTGCACTTTGGATGGGTTAATGCAGAGCACTAATTCTGAGTATGGGTCACTATACTTGGCCACATGTCACGTCACATTATTGAATTATTATTTTAATGTATTTACTTTCTGTAAACAAAAAAGTTTGGGGGAAAAAGCAGCTTTGTCACTGCATCAGAAGTACCAGAAATATCAAAAAAGTATTTGGCAACAGAGAGGCAAACCTCAGAGGCAAAAATGTTGAGAATCGTAAAAACAATCTTATTAGAAACATTTTGTTTTGTATTGCTGTGAGCATAAAATGTACTTATTAATAAATATAACTGTTTGCCACAGGAGGAGGAGTTCAGAACACGGCCTCGTTTAGACATCATCCAGCCGTTACCCGAGGGCTGTGAGGAGATCTCATCAGACGCTCTCACTGTACGCAACTTCCAGGAGAACCAGTGCAGGGACTACAGGCTCGGTATGATGAAGACAGAATGAATGAACAGCTGGAATGCCATAATAATGCAGAGGGATAACAATCACCCAAAACCCACAGTCTAATCAGTTAAATTCCCATTTTGATGGTATAGTCATCATTTTAAATCTTTAAATCATCTGTGTTGTCATTCCAGAACACTCTGAGGGAGAGCCTCTATTCTACATCATCAGCCCTAAAGACATTGTAGTGGCTAAAGAAAGAGACCAGGATGACCACATCGACTGGCTTCTGGAGAAGAAGAAATATGAAGTAAGTGTTTAGCAGTTATATAATAACATTTAAAAATTTGAGCTGTACTTGATGATTTTGATTTTTGTTACAGGAAGCACTGATGGCTGCAGAGATCAGCTTCAAAAACATTAAACGGCATGATGTACAGGTGAAAACAAATGAATGATGTTATTTAATGTGCAGAAAGCTAGTCTGTCAGATAATAACCTGGACTCACAGTGTGGCTGCTTCCTGTCTGTGCTCTGTGAATAGAAAATTGGAATGGCGTACATCAATCATCTGGTGGAGAGAGGAGATTATGATGCAGCTGCCAGGTTCAGGACATCAACCTTCTGATTTATTGACCTGTTAACCATTTAAAATATGAATGGATGCCTTAATATATGCCCCATTTTTCTCTCTGTATTCCTTATTGACAGAAAATGTCAAAAAGTGCTTGGAAAGAACATGGATCTCTGGGAGAATGAAGTGTACAGGTTTAAAACCATTGGACAGTTGAAAGCAAGTCTGCAGAATTTTTATTTTTTTAAATAATAATTATTTGCCACCCTGTATTTTATTGTAAATAGTAGTATAATATTAATGAGGATACTTATTATTGTTATTATTATTAATTGTTATTAATAATAGTAATAAGTCAGTGTGATGTTATTATTGTTGTTGTTATAATTTATGCAATGTATATTATTATAACTTAGACAAAGTTCTGAGAAATTAATCAAATGTTTTTATTATTAATCGCTTTGGTGCATTTCTCAGATCAGAAATGAAATTCTCAAAACTACTTGTTCAACCTCCACATCATCTAGTCACTTCATCATAAAAGCAGTTTCTCATTCTTTTGAACAAGTTGCGATTGCTTTGGTACATTCATGCAATTGTCTGTTGTTTCCTACATTATCAGTGGCTAATGTCATGTTGCTCAAAATGTATTATATAGTTCTCTGTGCAATAGTCTTACCCCTCAAAACATCTAGTCATTAGTTCATCGTTTAAGTCAATAAAAGCAGAGTGGTTGATCTAGTTGTCATAAACTGTCAAGCATATTTTCTACACATTTCTATTAGACTTTTTGTAAATTTGCCATGAATTGTGCAAGTGAATCTTGACTTTCACTTATAAAGAGAATGTAGATCAACCAATGATAAACCAGTTTTCTGAAATAGCTCAAGTGTAACTGTGAATTCTATCCAGTCTCTTTCAATCAATATCCCACATACAGTAATGTGTAATTTGTACTTTTGAAATGGATATATGGCATACAGAAGAAGTGCAGCCTTACTGTCATCCAAACTGTTGCCATTGTTTACATCATGTAATACTAACAGAGTGCACTGTTATATTGACAACATGACTAAGACTTTTCATTTTGACAGCACTGATATGTTCATTGACATAAATACTTTCTTTTGAGAGATGAACTAAAAATTTTGAGTAAGTTAGAGGCTTTTGCAGGTAATCCATTTTGTGGTGCTGATTGTACAAATTGTTTTGAGAAATGCACATACTTTGCAAATATTAAGGATGATTTGAGAAATGCACCAAGAAGAGACTGAGAAAAACTGTAATAAAATGATTTTATTAATTAACAAAATGTTTTATATAGAATATATGAAACATATGAATAATATATTAAAACAGAACTTAATTTTATTAAGCATTGATAAAATGTCAATATTTTTTTTACTTTTTGTCAAGAATTTTAGTGTGATCTTTATTATGATTATGTTGTGATAATATATTAATAATATCACACTTTTATTATTATTATTAATGAACACTTTTGTGTTGTAAGAAATGAGTAACATTTTAATATATATATATGTATATATATATACAGTATGTGACCCTGGACCACAAAACCAGTCACCATAAGGGTCAATTTTTTTAAATTGAGATGTATACATCATCTGAAAGCTGAATAAATAAGCTTTCCATTGATGTATGGTTTGTTAGACAACAATATTGACAATATTTGGCCGAGATATTTAATAGCTATTTGAGAATCTGGAATCTGAGGGTGCAAAAACATCAAACAAATTGAGAAAATCCCCTTTAAAATTGTCCAAATTAAGTCCGTAGCAATGCATATTACTAATCAAAAATTAAGTTTTGACATATTTACGGTAGGAAATTTACAAAACATCTTTATGCAACATGATCTTTACTTAATATCCTAATGATTTTTGGCATAAAATAAAAATTTATTATTTTGACCCATACAATGTATTGTTGGCTATCGCTACAAATATACCGTGCTACTTATGACTGGTCTGTGGTCCAGGGGCACATATATTTTAAAATATTACAAAAATAATAATTCATCAAAAATATCAGTTTAACCTAAAATCTTTAATTTTTGCATTGCACAAATGCTATTTGTTAACTACCCACTCCATTCTACTTCCTCCCAGGCCATCAGTCAATACTTACCAAGAGGAGACCTTCGTCTTCGACCAGCAATATATGAGATGATACTTCACGAGTTCCTCAAGACTGACTATGAGGTATGTGTTTTCCATTAAACAGTTTTTTCACTTGCATGAACAAGATGGTAACCTATTACAACAACCAACTTTACGGAAGAAGGAAAATCCTTTTATTGTTCATCACACAGGGTTTTGCCACACTGATTCGTGAGTGGCCAGGAGAGCTGTATAACAACATGGCTATAGTTCAAGCAGTGAATGAACACCTGAAGAAGGACCCCACCAACAGCATGCTTCTCACCACACTGGCCGAACTGTGAGTAAATGCTGCCAATTCATCAATAAATGAAAAGCTTGTAAAATCATTTTAAAAGCAGCTCTGCACAAGTTCGACTGATCTTATATGTGTGTATGCAGCTACACATATGATCAGCGTTATGATCGTGCTCTGGAGATCTACCTGAAACTGAGACACAAAGATGTTTACCAACTCATTCACAAACACAACCTATTCTCCGCCATCAAGGACAAGATTGTCCTGCTCATGGATTTCGACAAAGAGGTAAAACATCTATTTTATTCCTTTGGCAATACTGAGGACCTTTGTTTTCGAATTTAATGCAAGAAACTTGTCAAGTGCATAAGTTCAGGAAGTTATGGATTGTTTTGCTGATGATATATATTATAGATGACTTTGGAACTGTGTGATTTATAGTCAGAGAGATGTGTCTGAAGGATATGTCCGCCTCTTTGTTCTCTCTCTTTTTTTTTTAGAAAGCTGTTGACATGTTGCTGGATAATGATGATAAAATATCGGTGAGTTCAGTGCAGTGGCCTCAGTCTTCTGATTAAACCCTCCTAACTCTGTACAGATGAACATCTGTGTGTTTCTCTCCCGCAGATGGACAAAGTGGTGGAGGAATTAAAAGACAGACCTGAGCTGTTACATGTGGTATGTTGAATATGAGCTGTTTAAATCATACGGATGTGTCTGAGGGGTCCAGCTGTATTAACATTGGATGTGTTACTTGCTTTTTGCCTGTTTCTCCTCAGTATTTGCATAAGCTGTTTAAGCGGGACCATCATAAGGGGCAGAAGTACCATGAGAGGCAGATCAGTTTGTATGCTGAGTATGACCGACCCAACCTACTGCCCTTCCTCAGAGAGAGCATGCACTGCCCACTAGAGAAGGTTTGTATAAAATGTGTCACTAAACAGGAAATAACACATTAATGGGGTACTTTTTTTTAAAGTTGACTTAATCATCATACATTACTGTTCTAAATTTTGGGCTCAGTATATCATCACATAATCCTGAGAAATTATGGTTTCCACAAAAATAGTAAAGCAAGAACATTTTTTTCAGCATTGAGAATAAGAAATGTTGAGCAAATGTAAAAAAAAAACTGGAGTAATGGCTGCTGAACACTCAGGTTTGCAGTCACAGGAATAAATTATGCATTTTAAAATATATTAAATTATAAAAGTTATTTTAATTTGTAATAATATATTTCACAATATTACAGTTTTTACTGTATTTTGATCAAATAAATGCAGCCTAGTGAGCATAAGAGAAACCATTTTAAAAAATGTACTGATCCCAAACTTTTATACAAAATGATATATATGAAGAGTTTAGATGCAAAAGCCTAAGTGCCGTTTTAGAAGAAATTTTCTTCTAAAATGAACATTTTTATCAGGCCCCTATGTTTATGTCCAGTTATTTCACTTAATTGGCAAATAACCTATTTATGTTAAGGTGATATATATGTATATACACACACACACACACACAGTGCCTTGTGAAAGTATTCATACCCCTTCATTTTTTATTTTTTTCCCCACATTTTTGTTGTTGCCTTATGTTAAACTGCTTTAAATTACTTTTTTTCCACATCAGTCTACACTCCATACAACATAATGACAAAAGCAAAAACAGAATTGTCACAACTTTGTAAATTTATTAAAAATAAAAAATAAGTACATTGAAATAAGTATTCATACCCTTAACTAAATATTTTGTTAAAGCACCTTACAGTCTTCAAGTCTTTTTTGTTTGATGCCACAAGCTTTGATCATCAGCATTTGGCAGTTATCTGCCATTCTTCACCTCACGTCTTCACCTCTCTCAGCATGAGGCTGCTACCAGCACACTTTACTTTTGGGATGGTACTCTGTAGGTGATGAGCAGAGCTGGTTTCCTTCAAACATGACATTTAGAATTGAGGTTCATCAGACCAGAGAATATTGTCTCACAGCCTGGGGGTCCTTTAGGTGCTTTTTTGCAAATACCAAGTGTATTTTCATGTGTCTTCACTGAGGAGAGGATTGAGTTTGGCCACACCGCCATAAAGCCCAGATCGGTGGAGTGTTGCAATGATGTTTATCCATCTGTAGATTTCTCCTATCTCCACATATGATCATGGAGCTCAACTAGAGTGACCATCAGGTTCTTGGTCACAGTCTAACCAAAGCTCTTCTCCATCAGTTGCTCAGTTTAGTCAGGAGGCCCGCTCTAGGAAGAGTCCTGGTTGTTTCAAACTTCTTTCATTAAGGGTAACAGAGACTTTCTCTTTTTTTTCTGAACTCTTCTCCAGATGTTTGGCTTGATGCAAACCTGTTTCTGAGCTCTACAGGCAGTTCTTTTGACCTCAGGGCTTGGTTTTTGCTCTGATATGCATTATCAGCTGTTAGACCTTTTATTAAGATGTGTGTGCCTTTCCAAATCATACCCATTCAATTGAATTTGCTACAGCTTAAGTATACTCGAAGTGTAGTAACATCTACAAGCAATATGAACTCCTGAGCTAAATTTCAACTGTCCCAGATGCAATGGAATCATTTAAGTTTTTTATTTTTCATAAATTTGCGAAGATGTTAAAAACCTGTTTTTTGCTTTGTAATTATATTGTATGGAATGTAGATTGATGTGAAAAAAAAGTCATTTAAAGCAGTTTACCATAAGGCAGCAACATAACAAAACGTGAAAAAAATGGAAGGGGTATGAATACAGATTTTGAACAGTTGCTTTGTGTCTTTCAGGCTCTGGAAATCTGTCAGCAGAGGCACTTTGTAGAAGAGACAGTCTTCCTGCTCAGTGAGTTCTGAATCATTGATCTGTGCATTTCTGTCATCAAACTTGATAGTTCTTTACACAGTAATTGATCCAGTGCAACAGAGGAGATGTCACTGTGTGTAAACTTTTCAACTAGCTGTAGCCTCTAGTGCTTCTGATGTATGCTTTTTTTCCCTGTCAGGTCGTATGGGAAACTGCAGACGTGCCCTGCAAATGATCATGGAGGAGCTGGCGGATGTGGACAAGGCCATTGAGTTTGCTAAAGAGCAGGATGACAGAGAACTCTGGGACGATCTCATCTCTTACTCTATAGACAAACCACGTATGAGACCTGACTCTATAGCAGCTCTTTCTGCTAAAAAAAATTACTAACTTACAATATTAGTAATGCTTCTTGTTTGTTTTCTTCATTCTAGCGTTTATCACAGGCCTCTTGAATAACATTGGAACCCATGTGGACCCAATCCTGCTCATTCACCGCATTAAAGAAGGGATGGAGATTCCTAACCTCAGAGACTCACTGGTTAAGATTCTACAAGACTACAATCTACAGGTGTGATCACTGCCGGTTAAACCAGCATTCCATTCAGACTAGAGTACTAATATAACTAGATGCTTGTTAAGATACATTTACTTGATCATTTTGTGTTCATGGAAAGTGTTCAGAACATCTTGATGTTTGTCCTGTAGATCTTACTGAGAGAGGGCTGTAAGAAGATCCTGGTGGCAGATTCACTGTCTCTTCTACAGAGGATGCACAGGACACAGAAAAGAGGAGTGCGGGTGGATGGTAAACAAGTATTTTGTCTTCCTGTCATCTAGGACAAAATTAATAAATATCAGGGCAAATCAGCAGCTGTTTTGTTCACTAGAAATGCTACAAAATTATTTTGCTTTTATTTCTCATAGAAGAAAACATCTGTGAATCCTGCCACACTCCTATTTTACCATCAGGTACACCCTAATGACTTTTAATGCATCCATTTGTATACATGAACACACACCCACACACAGGGACGCGGGAAGTAGGGGTGCTGAGGGGGCTGCAGCACCCCCTGTTTTCACATGGTTGCAAATGCAACGATAGGTTTGTTCATTTAAATTTTAAAATTTGTAATGATCTCTGAAATATAAATTGTACGTGGGCTATAATAAACCCATGTTTATCTTTATAAACATGATTAATTTTACTTGTGATGTTTTCTATATGGGATGATTAGCCCCCCCCCCCCCCCAACACGGACACACACAGCACCCCCAAAAGAAAGCATCTTCCCGCGCCCCTGCCCACACATGAAATATATGGGGAAATATAGAAAAAACACAATATAAAATACAATATAGAAAAACATTATAAACCTATTTCTTGAAAATGAATGCATATTAAATAACTATACTATTATATAAGTTGTGTGTGTTTGAGTGTATATGTACAGGTGCATCTCAAAAAAATTTTATATCGTGAAAAAGTCATTTTTTTGTAACTTATTTCAAAAAATGAAACTTTCATATATTCTAGATTCATTACATGTAAAGCATTTCAAACGTTTTTTTATTTTATTTTGATGATTAGAGCTTACAGCTCGTGAAAGTCAAAAATCCAGTATCTCAAAATATTAGAATGTTTCCGAAGATCAATCAAAAAAAGGATTTGCAAAACAGAAAAGTTTGAGTTCTTTAAAGTATGTTCATTTATGCACTCAATACTTGATTGGGGCTCCTTTAACACAAATGACAGCATCAGTGAGGTGTGGCATGGAAGCGATCAGCCTGTGGCTCTGCCGAGGCACTATTGAGCCTTCAGCTCGTCTGTATTGTTGGATCGACTGTTTCTCATGACGGGGTGACTCTTGATGCACTGACTCCAGCTTCAGTCCACTCCTCGTGAAGCTCTCCCAAGTGTTTGATTCGACTTTGACAGTATTCTCAAGCTTCTCAATTCACAAGGTTTGCTTGTGCACCTTTTCCTACTCAATTTCTTCCTTCCAGTCAACTTCGCATTTAATATGCTTTGATACAGCACTCTGTGAACAGCCGCCCCTTTCAGTCTATCAGGAAATTTTGGAGCACTTTATGCTTCCATCTGCTGACAAGCTTTATGGAGATGCTGATTTCCTTTTCCAGCAGGACTTTAGCACCTGCCCACAGTGACAAAACCACTTCAAAGTGGTTTGCTGACCATGATATTACTGTGCTTGATTGGCCAGCCAACATGCCTGACCTGAAGCCCATATGGAGTCTCTGGGATATTTTCAAGAGAAAGATGAGAAACAGTCGATCCGCACTGAAGGCTCAGTAGTGCCTCAGCAGAGCCACAGGCGGATCGCTTCCATGCCACACCTCACTGATGCTGGAGTTTGTGCTAAAGAAGCCCTGACCAAGTATTGAGTGCAGAAATTAACTTACTTAAAAAAAAAAAAAGTTTTTCTGTTTTGCAAATCCTTTTTTTTTTAATTGATCTTAGGAAATATTCTAATATTTTGAGATACTGGATTTTTAACTTTCATGAGCTGTAAGCTCTAATCATCAAAATTAAAACAAAGAAATTTTGAAATGTTTTACCTTACATATAATGAATCTAGAATATATGAAAGCTTTTGAAATATTACAATTTTCACAATATTCTTATTTTTTGAGATGCACCTGTTTGTGTGTGTATATATATATATATATATATATATATATATACCTAAAGGACTATCAGACTCTGAGAAACAAGAGTCTCTGGTCTGATGAACCTCAATTCCAAGTATCATGTTTGAAGCAAACTAGGCACTGCTCATCACCTGAAGAGTACCACCCCAAAAGTAAAGTGTGCTGGTAGCAGCCTCATGCTGTGGAGCTGTTTTTCAGCAGCAGGGACTGAGGGACTCGTCAGAGTAGAAGAAAAGCTCAGTGCACCAAAATATTGTCCAGAGCATTCAGAACCTCTGACTGGGCAGAAGGCTCACCTTCCAACAGGACAATGACTCTAAGCACACAGCAAGAGTGGCTTATAGACAACTCTGTGAATGTCCTCGAGTGGCCCAACCACAGCCTGAGCTTGAACCCAATCAAATAATTCTGGATAAACTTGAAAATGTGCATTTGCTCCCGTCCAACCTGACAGAGCTAGAGAGGTGAAGAGGTGAGGAGAAAAATGGCAGATAATTGCCAAATGATTTCGCATCAAACAAAAAAGCACTAAGACTGTAAAGGTAGACTTTAAAAAAAAGAAAAAAGAAAAAAAAATTTATGAGGTTGTGACAATTCTGTTTTTGCTTTGTCAGTATGGTGTATGGAGTGTAGATTGATGTGGAAAAAAAGTAATTTAAAGCAGTTTAACAAGGCAGCAACATAAAATGTGAAACAATGAATGGGGTATGAATACTTTCAAGGCACTATATGTGTGAATTTTTAAATGGATAACGTGCACAATATATACAAAAAAACTGAAAAATAAGAGCTGTCACCCAATCATTATTTTAATTCTTATTTTTCATTTAATTCACTCAAAGACACGGCTCAGGCATTTGGTGTGGTGGTGTTTCACTGCAGACACATGTTCCACAAGGAGTGTCTGCCGTCCCCTGGGAATGTAAGTCTTCTTTAATCTTTACATATAACTGCTTTTTAAAGGTGAAGTATTTTTTGTAATCCACCTTAATATGCAAAAACAGCTAGAAGACTAAGTTGCACTATCCAAACCCATTTAGCTAGCATTCTAATTGCTCAACCAATGGCATTTATTAATGCTAGAGATGCAGAAATGACACACTTCACATTTGAACCAGCCTGCTGCATTCAAACGTTGAGCCTTTATCTTAGAAAAGGAGAAATGTTTATTTTGCTTTTGCACTATTAACGTTTTGCATTTTATGTTCTTTGGCAGGTCCCAGGAATACAGTATTGTAACATCTGCAGTGCAAAGCGGAGAGGACCAGGCAGTGGCATACTGGAGATGAAGAAATAATCATTCCTTCTAGTAGAATAACAGTTCTACAATTACCACTCACTCATCAGAACCTGTCAAAAATGAAACGATCTTAAAATAATCTTTCCTTTACTAACAGTATTTATTAATGCAAGCTTGTGATTGCTAGATTTTGTTTCATAAAAGCACCAATAAAGCACTCATATAATCTGTTGACGTCTTTTGCCACAATGTTCCAAACAAAACATGCAGTACATCGTCACTTTTTTTTCCCTCAAATCTTTCTTTCCATTAAGAACATTTTGATTACTAATATTTTTGAATGGTTTGTATGAACAGACACCATCTGGAAAATGTTTCAATGTCATTCAGATGAATGCAAAAATGTATCAGTTTTTGTAAGGCTGAACTTTACTGACAAGTCATATACCGCAAACATACAGCAAAATAATTCAGCTAAATGTATTACCACAAAACCGTAGTTTAGTACACCACCCTCAACTGCTCGAAGAAAGGCATAAACAAACAACCCAGCAGTTTCTGTCCAGTCAAATAAAATAAAAAAACCCATGGTGAGTGAGGAGTTTAAAGTCCAAACAGAATAGCTAGATTGTTATTTGCACATTGTAAACAAAATCACATCTACATTAGCTAGAACTCATTTGACATGACCAACTATTCATAGCAATGACTGCAGCACCTTCTACAGACCACAGCTGCAAAAATACACATCAAACCACAAACATAATATGAGATTAGAAAGGTTAAACTTTAATAATGGTTCGTCAATCATCATGGAATCAAATAAAATGAGGAGAGGAACAGGGATGAAATGGTTAAAGGGACATTGTTAGAGAAAATCTATTATTCGCAATATGTTGACAAACTAGCGCAGAACTACATTCTCACAGAGGGATACGGAGGTGGTTTTTACTCAGAGTGGTAAGAATCAAATCAAGCAGGCTTTATCTGCAAAACGACCAGCAAGTGCCTTCCAGAATGCTATTTTAACACATTCTCTAAATATATATATATTTCTCTCCCATCACTTTCATATTTTTTCCCCCCACAGTAAGGCCACTTTAAAAAGTAAATTTGAAGACTCAATGCCTCTGTCAACAGATCTTGCAAAATGGGGAGGGAAAACAATTTAATTTAAGGTTACAGTTAAAACGTTGAGCTGCTCCTCTTTGGCCGGACTGGTGTTAATTCCTGCAGCCAATCAGAGCCCAGGACCTGGTCGACATTGTAACCACAGATATGTAACTTACTGAGGTAGCCTCCACTCTCTAGTCCCCAAACCAAAAACTCCCAGCATTCTGTCATCACAATGTAAGAAAAACAAATCCAATGGTTTGGGAGTTATACTGACGTAGTGAAGAAAAAAAAACCCTCAGCAGATGTTGGTTTGTTTGTTTAATTCTCACCCAATGTCTTGAACTCCATCCTCAAAGTGGCTTTTCTCATTTTCTCAGGGTTGGCCGATGTCCAGTGGCTCTGCCGGCCAACCACCCCCATGAGGAAATCAACCGTAAGAAACATTTGATGCCTTGTTCGTTTGATGCAGTGTCATTCATCTTGGTGAACGGTATCGTATGAAGCAGAATTTGAAATATCAGTCAGTTCCTGTTGCTGCAGCCCGTTTTAAATGCAGTTGATAAGGGAGGGCCTTTATCAGCCGTGTCCGTGTGTGTATGAGAGGATTTTGATGGATAAATGGGTCAAAATATGTTAATTTCTGGGTGTTGCTTGACAGAGGTCTAATGGGATGTTTATGTATTGTTGTGTGCGAGTGTGTGTGTGTGTGTGTGTGTGTGTGTGTGCGCGCATGTGTTGGTTGTGTGTGTGAAAATGGGCACAGATGTCTCCAGCTCAGTAAAGACTGCATCAGACAGCTTTCCCCCAACGAGTCTTACTGTACCATTGGCGGTAGGCTTGGGGGGGGAGGGGGAGATGGCTTTTATTTGTCCCCCAGGATGGCATACTGATTATCTAACTGTAGATGTTGCATGGAGCCTGGGCCTTCCCCTTCTCTGACCCGGCTCTTGTGCTTAACCACCTCGAAGGTCTTCTCCATCTCTCTGTCCCTGCAACAAAATATCCACCAGTATGCAGGATTGGTTATGCTCAAAATGGAATACTCGCTACTGTATAGTATGTATATATTTTAAACCAGGGGTCTTCCACTAAAATTGCTTGAGGACCAGTAAAGAACCCTCCTCACCAGCCGACGTCCGGACAATTATATACCTAAAAACATGAATTGATGGTTTTTGCCAGACCAGGGTATCTGCAGGATTTTAAATCTTAAATTTAAGACTTTAGGACCTTTTTTAATATCTGCACAAATAAAATTAAAATGAATGTAAAAAGCATGATTTAGAGATCAGATACAGGTTTTCACACACACAAAAAAAAAAGTAAAAAATACATGTTTACCGTCTTAATTGTTTACATTTTTATAATGCATTATCTTCTCGATCCACTAGTTCACATTTACAACTCACATGGGTTGATTTTCACATTGGTCAGTCTGAACAAAAACAGCAGGGCTTAATGAAAATTTAAATTCAATCTCTGCCAGCAGGTGGCACTTTTGGAATGGCAGAAATATAGCGGTTTCGCTGGTAAGGGCAGTACACAAAGCAGCAGCTGAATTTGAAATGTGCAGCGCTCATATTTAATCAATAAAATAATAGCCTTTTGAAGTTTAATCGTTACATTCTGTCCCCAAATTGAGGGCCTCCTGAAATCATAACTAAGAATATCTTGTACCATTTAAGACTTTAAAGGGGTCATATGATGCCATTTAAATTTTTCCTTTCTTTTTGGAGTGTTACAAGCTCTTGGTGCAAAGAAGATCTGTAAAGTTGCAAAGACTAAAGTCTCAAATCCAAAGAGATATTCTTTATAAAAGTTAATCAACCACGCCTACCTAAAACGGTTCGTTCTAACACGCCCCCACATGTCTACGTCACGATGTGGGAAGATTTGCATAACGCCGCCCAAATGTTCACGCAAAGAAAGAAGGCGTAACTTTTATTCTTGCTGTATTATTGTTGCCGCCGCAGCCATGTCGTGAAGACGCTGTGTTTCGTTGTGAAAGCGAAACTATTTTGTTTGGCCTTCCAAAAGAGGACGATATCCGCTTCGTCATACACCTCGCTTTTTCAGACCGATGAGCTTTGCAAAAATCGCCGCATTTCAGAAAGGCTGGGCATAGAGGAGAAACAATAATGTACAGTGTGTGGAAAATAATGTGTTTTTTAACCTTAAACTGCATAAACATTTCATTACACCAAATAATGTTCTTTTTAGCAACATCATATGACCCCTTTAAGGACCCGTCAACTTCACTCATTTTTGAGAACCCAATTGTTTTTCACTCACTGAAAGTGTCATCTGTGTGAGTGCAGCTCTCTGCTCTCGTCATTGCACACACACATTGCACACACAACTGCTTCTAAACGGCTCGACTGAGCTGATCTTGATATAAATTAGATTTTATTAGAAATTAGCATTTATTTATTTATTTCATTGTCAAAACCTTTGGACCGCATGGACGCATCTTAAACAAGTATTTCAAATAGAATGCAAAAATAAGTGTTTTAAATGGTAGGTAACTACAAGACAATATGTGAATACATTTCTAATTAGTTTCTGCTTCATGTTGCGTTATCTTCCTTATGAAAACTAGATAAACTTTTATTAATAACAATTAAAACTAACATAACTGGTATAACTAAAACTACACCAAAATAATTTATTTTTTACTAAATGCACATTTTCAAGACCCAAAATCTAAAGATAATTTTACGTTTTGAAAAATGGCATACTTTTTACACTCCTGCATTAATCGCATAACACTAAAATGTCTCATCCAATCAGAAATTTCAGAACTATACATTTTATAATGCACATTTGGGCAGTTTGGCTATTTTAGTATTATTTGTGTACTATTATAGTACTTATTATTTTGAATCAGCTTGCTTTTTTTTTTTTTTTTAAGTTTAGTAATTTTGTCATTCATATTAAGCTTTAGTCATTTTAGTACTTATTTTATTTCAGATAGTTGTCAAGGCAACATTTTTACATTACATTTAAGTTTTTCATATTTCAGCTTAATTTCTATTCACAAAATTCATTTTTAATTATTTTAGTAAACAAAACACCATTATTCCATGCACAGAGAAAATCTGCACAGTACAAATACTGCGGAAATCGCTGCACATCAGTATGGCATTCCTAACATACTCCGTGTATGAGGAAAATCGAGGAAGGAAGCTAAAGGTACATCTGATTAAGCAATGAACAGTACAGACTTTTAGAAGAGCTCAGTCACTTACTTGCGAGTCTCCACGTGTCTGGCGGTGGAGAGGAGAGAGGGAAACTGGGTGTCGTTGATTTCTGGAGGCCCTTGAGTTGGGCCTTTCTTGGTAGAGGTTAACCGGGCCCCTGGGGGACGATACACGCCAGGTGCTTTGGGCTCAGGAACCTCAACTTCCTCTACTAACAGGAAATTAGACATTAGTGTTTAAAAACTAATCTCAACTAATACTTTCATTAGTTGGCTATTTATACTAACACTGCCGACTCACCCGGAGCAGCTGAGGGGGGGGCGCTTGATTTATTCCAGGGTCCAGAGATTTTATCACCAGTGACCAGGATGATCTCACCATCCTCGCCCACTTCCTCCTTCTCGTATTCTTCCTCCTCCTTCTCATCACTATCAGACAGACGAAAAATTGTGTACTTCAATAGAGATACGCTGTAACATGTATGAATTCAAATAAACTCTTTGCTTTGATAAATGTTCTAATATATGAATAAAATTTGTAACCCTGTTTAAGCGATTCCAAATTAGTCTTTACCATTTCTAGAATTTGTACAGGGTTTGCATTTTTCAATGACAAGAGTATTGTAATTTGCAATTTCTTTATTTCTGAAGCAGATGTATTATACGTGACAGCATTAAAGTTTCTTAATCCATATGATTCATCTTAAGACATAACTGACTGTTCAAATTAAAGGTGCAGTAGGAGATCTTGGAAAATACTACCTTTAGAACGAGTGTTTTAATTGGACGAACATTTCTTGGTTCTACGCCTTCCACAGAATATATAAATACATTTAGACCACTTAACTTAATGATTGCTATCGGGATGTGAAGAGACTTTCAACCAGCATTAAAAAAAATGTTTCTGAAGACAATCACCTATTGCACCTTTAATGCTTCATAAAAGCATTTTGAGATTTAAGAAGTGAGTGTGCATCTCAATCAGTGCCAATCCTAGACTTCGGGGGCCCTACGCAAAACTGTGTCGGCAGCGGCGTTGGGGGGTTGAGTGGGGTATATGAGTGGTTATAAACGAATGAATGAAACACATTTGTCTCTTCCGCAGTTCGGTATGCTTTCACATTTTTTTTAGTCTCGAGCAAGACTGTACGACATTTACATTACATGATTTGACTGATTTTTACGTAGAAAGGGCGACAGCGCACTGCATTAAAAGAAATGATCATTCATGTTTTCAGAACCACTGGCCAAATTCAAAAACTACACTAAAATTAAATCATCTTTGAGAGCAAGGGGGCCACCTGGTGTTTCAGGGGCCCTATGCAGCTTGCGTATTTTGCGTATAGGGAGGATCGGCTCTGATCTCGATGCATCAAAGCCACCTGCATAAAAGATGGTGAGAATTAATGCACGACTATTCCATCACGAATAAATCTCTCAATTAGTAAAATGAGTGTCTATTAAGCCTTGCACAATTTTCAGCTGTCCCAGATGAAAGATTGGCATCGTGAAACAATCATGGCGATTTCTGTGATAGTGGCTCCTAATCAGTGCTCTTATGTCGTACAGTGAGAGAGGTTCAAAGACGGCTGTTGTCACGGTCTTGCGACCAAAGATAGTCTACGATACTTTTCTGACTGTCACGTGTCATAAATTTAGCATGAACATCACAGTGTGTTTGCTGGTACGATCCAAGTTTACTGAGCCAATAAAAATGCGACATGAAATCAACGCGACATGGCGCTAAAACATAAAACTTCTCACATCAAGCTCTTATTCCCTCCTCTTTCACCGCTTCCACTTTTTTTTCAGCACACATAAAAATACAACTGTTATAGTGTGATTCATACGGTGCGTTCCAAACGGGATATATCGCCCTCCGAAGGTCACTTCGGAGTGAAAACAATCATGGATCATACTGAAGGGTCGTTCCAAACCGAAGTGCTCAAAACTGGCCACTTCAAAGGGCCCTTCGGAATGAAGGATTTCGAAGGGTACAACTGATGGACACTTCGGGTTCCCATGATCCTATGTGCAGATTCTTTGCATGATGACGGTACCTCCATGTGACGCAGAAGAGCACTTCAAGAAACAGTTGTTTGGTCCCCTACACCCTTCAACCCTTCGAAGCTCTCACTCCGGAGGGTAAACCCTTTGAAGGAATTAGGGCACAGGGATGAGCCCTTCCGAATGGAACGCAGGGAGAATGCACTTTGTTTACCACTAGCACATGCCGATGACGTTCTATTCTTCTATAGTAACGTGCGTTGCAGCGTACGGGTCAATTGGTGTCATCATCGTACAGGCTACACGTCGCACCCAAGTTTATTAGATCCACATTGTGACATGCAATGATCTTATAGGATTGCTAAAACCGTGCCGTGTGTAGAAGGCTTTATAGATTACGCAACATTTTAATTAATAAGGTACACTTAAAATTATACAGTCTAATCCTGTTTATGTGAAATAACCCTGTTCCCGACCAGGTTTGAGCTTTTGGACCTGTTACTATGACAGCAGCTCCGAGATGAACAGTCCTGCCAAATTGCCAACAATAAAATCCAGCTAACTGGGTAATCCATGTATGAAAAACGGACCCCAGTAGCATCAAATTCATTAGATGCCAACTGTTTGTGCTTCACACCTCATCTGCAGGGCCTGGAGTCGGAGTCCGGTGTAGTCCACCTCCTTCTGCTCAAAGTCCTTCCATTCCTCATCCTCCTGGAGTGACAGTTTAAGAAAAGAGAGGTGACCCTTATATAGAGTTCAATGAACTAATTTTTAGAGATTTTAAGACAATACAAGAACCAAGTTAATGTCTATACTATATATTAACTATATATTTCTGGAACTACAGTGGAGTCAGTCACAGCACTTGGTTCCTAAGTGTAGATTATAAATGTAATTTATAAATGAAGTTGTGTAATGTAAGTAGGGCTGGGCAAAAAAACGAATGTGATTTTCATGTGCATCTCGTCAGTAAAGCCGCTTCTGGTGATTAGTGGTAAATCTCCAGCACGTGCTTTCTGATGGAGCGGCATTTACTACACAGAGCCATAGATCACTGACAAGCTGATATTTATATATTTAATCTGAATATATAAGAGCTACATGGAGGAACATATTGCTGTTTATTACTTTTTAAGTATGTTGCAGCCATGATTAAGTTCATGACTATAAGTGACTCATCAATATTGATCAATAAACTTGATGAAAAATATATAATACAAATATTTAGATATTAAGAGAGCTACACGGTGAACTTTTATAAAGACACATTTGGCCATTAATGCATCATTATGCAAAAACTTGAGGCAAGTTCTCCACATGAAAACCCATGACTGATCAGCAAGCTACTTTTTTCTTGCCAATATGGTACAAAAAATTGAGTAGCTTAAAGTAAATAAACTGAAATGTGTAGTGTGTATATAAGGATGTTCAAGGCGCAGTAAGCGATTTCTGAGAAACACATGAAATCACTGAAACAAACTCGCCCCTACCAAAAAGGATCCTACCCCTATCTTGATAGCTCTGCACCCAAATTCATAAATATGCTATGCAACATAGGCACCTCCCCCATCCCAAGTGGACACGCCCCTTAATGGTGACTGGCTTCTCTTTTTTTTTTTGCACCTTTAACAGTAACAATATGTTTGACGGGCTATTTTAAGGTTGCATGTAACTAAGCGACCATGCAGTCCTTTAAAGTCACAAAAAAGTATTCCGTGAAAGTATTGTAAAGTACATCCAAATTAAACAAGTTATCAAAAAGAAAAAATGTAGGGCAGGGGTTCTGTCTATCAGTTGCTGATTTCATTTGGAGGCAGATGAGATGAACATGAGCTTGCAGGGACAGGGGGTACTGTAAATGGACTCAAATGACTGGATACATCATCAGAGAAGTCTGGGATCAGTTGCATTAAAGGGGTCATATGATGCGATTTCAAGATTTCTTTTCTCTTTGGAGTGTTACAAGCTGATTGTGCATAGATAAGATCCCTGAAGTTGCAAAGACTAAAGTCTCAAAACCAAAGAGATATTCTTTATCAAAGTTAAGACTCTGCCACGCCCCCCTAAAACGGCTCGTTCTAACACGCCCCCACATATCTACCTCACTATGTGGAAATATTAGCATAATGCACCCAAATGTTCAGCAAAGAAAGAAGGCGTGGTTTCAGTAACCGCAGTTAGTGTTGAAGCAGCCATGTCAGGGAGACGCTGTGTGTTTCTAGGCGAAAGCAAAAGCACTTTATTTGTATTTATATGTACAGTATTTGAAAAATAATGTGTTTTTTGAACATTAAAGCATGTCAACATATTCTGTTACACCAAATATACATCGCAGTAATAATACAGTAATACATCGCAAAACATGCCTACTCTTCTGTTACACACTCAAAAGTATGTGCTTTTTCTTCATAAAGGGATTACACACTTTTAGGGAACAGCATAATTAGGCGAACTGATGCAACGTGCAGGATTTCATTAAAGTGACCTGATGTCACTGTAAAAGTACAAAACTTGCGTTCATTTGCACATTGCTATTCTGTACTGTCTTACAAGAGAAACAAGCATTTGGTGGAGGTGAAGGACACAGTTACAGCAGCAGTTATAAAACCCCTGCTGGAAGATTGATGCCCTTAGCAACGAATGTCAGTATGATGTCACATCACCCAACATACCTCACGACCAAATGCTACTTCTATTTAAGGGTAACATTAAAGGCATGGTTCACACAAAAATTACACCTCTGTCATCGTTTGCACACCCTTGTGTTGCTCCATTGCCATATGAAATGTTAGGCTGTCAATATCTAATGTTCTGCCAAAAATCTGATTGTCTAGAGGAAAGAAAGTCAGGCAGGGTGAGTAACGTTCAATTACGACAATATGATTGTAAAATTAACTATCAATTTAAGTAACGTAGCCAGCTGTCAGAAACATAAACCGATGATAGCTACAGCACAATATCACATTAACTTCCTTTATGAAGATAAAAGAAAAATGTAACCTTTTATTGGAGTTGTTATTTGCTTGTTGTCACAAAACTGAGTGAACGGCCTGCTTAGACCACATTGCGCTTTTAGAACGTTCACGCGCCCTTTGTAACGTTACCTACAAACGCTGTCTAGATAGGCAGCTCACTAGGTTTTGTGACACAGCCCGTGTGTTGTTTGACTGTGCGTTACCTTTTCCATCTGCGCGTCCTGATTCTCACTCTTCGTCGACTTCTCCTTCTCCCTCTTCATCTTTTTCACCGCCATCACGGTTCCTCCAGCTCCTCCGGTCGCCTGCTCCTTCCCCTTGCCCTTCTCCTTCTTTTTCTTCTTGTCGCGCTTAGCGAAGAAGTCATCCAGACTCTTCTCCACGCCGGCCGGAGCCACATCCGCCATCTTATCCCCAAATCTCCTCCACTAAACACTAAAAAAAAGCTTATAAATGATCAGATCAGTGTCTGAAGCGACAGCAAACGAGCCCTTGCGTGCGTGTCTGACAGGTAATCCGTATGTTTCATGTGTATCCGCAGGTTAAAGGTGTGCTGAGAGCAGCATGACAGACTCACCAGCTGAAAGTGTGACACACACACACACACACACTCGCCCAATGCACCGGATAGTGTTGCTTCCGATCTGACCCGGATGGGAAAGAGGCTTTGTGATTGACAGTTCTGCTATCCAATCGCTGAGCGACTATGTTAGTTTTCGACCAATCCTATCGCAGGGTGAGGATTCTGCAGAGTGCTTTTGCCAGATTGTGCAATTTTGTTCTACAATTCGTTGGTAGTAGTTATACAACACTTGTGGAGTAATTTAGTTAACAAATGAAAGAAAACTTATGATACATTTAGATATGCAGCTGTGCTAAAAACTGCACAGAAGAGGCAGAGTTGCAGAAATAATGTTAAATATTAATATAATATTAATATATAATAAATGTTCATATTTATTGTTTTAAACATGATATTTTGAATATAGAAACAATAGAATTATAAATAAAAACATGATATAAAGTACTTAGCTGGTTATTAACACAAAATAGCAAATATTTAATGATTTTTTTTATTATTTTTTTTTTTAAATTCAAGAATCTGCCGTTAAATAACTTAACAAATCTGAAAATTAAGGGTGGGCCCGTCAATGCCTTTAAGTTTCTTGCTTAGGGCCCTTTATAAAAATAAGGAACTGAAATAGGATGTTGTTAAGATGAAATACTATTGGGAACGTAATGTTTTGCTGTGTAGCATAGGATTTTAATTTAATTTATTATTTTATTTTTTTACTGGCATTTGGTTTTTTCATTTATTTTTTTAAGGTGGAGCACACACAGCCAGCATAAAGTTTTATAGGCCAAAAATTGTATTATGGTATTGTTTTATTGTTTTAGTATTTCTCAAATAACTCAAGACAGAATTTGCAAAACAAAGACTATAAAACCTAACTGCATTCTAGCATGCAGCAATGTGATTGAGAGGGTTTATAAAAAGACTACAAACATCTGTTGCCTTTTGAGAGACTGTGAATGAATGACCGTCCCAGTTGTGTGTCACACCGAACAGCATGTGAATAGAAAAGCTTCATTCAGCATATACAGAGCAAACAGGGAAGATTCCAGAAACCTTTGACCCATTTCAATCAGGGGGGAAACATTGGCATGTGTGCTCTACTTTGCTTTTTTAAACCGGCTTTGCTTTAAATATTGACAAAAATCAACTACAGACTGAAGAAGCCTTCAAAGCCTTTTTATTTGTATTGCTCAGCAGTAAATGTGCTACAAATGATCAGACATGATTCATAATATGCAAGAGCGATTTTTTTCTGTCAGCTGAGCAATTACCTCTCTCTCCTTAGATATCTAAAACTCATGCCAGCACAAAATAAATGGACGGAGACAATTAAAAAAAGAAGAAATGGAAAACATCAATCTACAAATTCATTTAAAACAATATTTATATAAAATCTGCTAAGCATACAGAAAAAAATGGGTTATGTAAAGAAAAGATGATGATATGGTCTTAAAACATGTTACCAACCTCAGTGACGTGTTCAAAGAAAGTACAAAATAAAATAGGTTCTCTGTATGTATTTATATCTAACAATTACACTCTATTACATCCAGTGATATCATTGACATTCATCTAAAAAACTGTACAACACAGCAGTAAGCACTGAGAATCAAAGAGAAATTCATTTTGGTCTCATTTATTCTCGTCAATGTTCACACAAGGGACAAAGATAGACAGACAGAACCACAAGCACACTCATTCACGCTTCACTAAGAAAAACATGTCTTCTAACAAAATATATATAGATTTAGCCAACCTGTTAAGCAATAATAGTGCCATTTTCATCAGAGCATGTCATAGCGAATAAACAAATATAGAGGTTTAATAATAATAATAAAAAAGAATGCATTTCCACTACAGTTATACAGTATAATGCTTAGCCCTGCTTATGGAAGTTGAACACAAACACGTACAACATGAACAGATATGATGTGAAATGTGGAGCACAGTAACATTACCATACAAAGAGCTTTGTATGAGGCATTTCATTGGCATTTAAGCATTTTTCTACTTGCTTGTGCAACTGTGTCAACGCAAATGGAATTTTAGGTTGTTTTTAACAACGAAATATTGATAGAAACCAAATCCTGTTTGACATCTAGTCTAAAGACACACATACACCTCAAATCAGAAAAGATGCATGCAACAAGACATATACGCACACAAAAACATCTCGAACATCTAAAGAATGGGACAATTGTCGTTTTGTCTTTTGGCTGGTGACTCAACTGGGGACAAACCATCTCAGAAAGTCATGATTCATCCTCCATCAAATGCAAACAGGCAATCAACTCAATTTCCTCCATGAGGGAAGCGAGGGTTGCTGCAGTACCCACTGGACCCATTCCAAAAGCGTTCCAGAATCAGTGCCCTTTACCCCTGCATCCCCTTACATACAGAATTCAAGTGCAGCAGGCTTTTTTAAGTAATCATATTAAGTGTTTTGGGTAACGTCACACAAGCATCCTTACACCACGCGTCATGTTTCTCAGCACTCTGCACCACCAAAGCCACTGGAACATAAGAGCAACCACACTTATTGTTTTTATTCAAAAAAGACATAAAAACCCTTATCACAATGAAGCGTCTGTAGAAAATCCACATCAGAAAAATATGCAGGGGCTCCCCCTCATAGTAAATAGCATTTGTTCTGTTTTGTAATATTCTTTCAGCTCCTTGAAACCAGTTTCATAAATAAACTGCAGTCTCTGAAGGTCCACCACATATATGTATATATATTTATTTATATATATATATATATATTCTTAAAAAATGCGAGCAAATAAAAGGGACTGGAAAATCCTCAAGGATTTTGTCTCCTTTTAATATAGTGTGTTTAGATATCAGAAGCCTTGTCTCTGTTGATAAAGAGAGTCTCTTGGCAAAAGGGGTTAACCAGAACCACGCCGCTGTCGCTGTAGTCACCGTTAGGGGGCAGACACGTCTCTTGTTCCTGAAACGCAAAGAAACATAAGAACATTAGCACTGTATACTTGCTTTCATGCTAACTAAAGGCTAATCACTTGGGCGTCTGATCCTACAAAGGTAAATACAGTTAAGGTGGAAGGAACAGGGTTTCTTCTCAGGATCTATGTTCTTATAGAACAAATGTGCATTTCTATGGTGTAGTGATTGAGCTCTATCACCATGGAGACTGCGTGTGTGAAATGAATGGGAGGAAATGAAGGAAGAAGCAGAGAAAATTGCACCTGTGCAGGAAGACAACTAATTATAAGGCTCTAGATTCTAAAAGATGTTTTGTGTTTGGTCACACATATTAAAAGGGGAATTCTTATTCAAACATCAAAATGAATCCATCTATCCAACTTTCCATAAATCTATCTATCTAAAAACGTGTACGCTACAAAAAAGTGTTAGCAGGATAGGAAAAAATTGTCAACTGAAAACAATTACAAAATAAAAACTGAGGACAAATAAATAAAGGCAGGTAATGATTTGTCTCTCTTGCTTCTCTAAAAGGGTGATTTGAAGACCTGTGGGTCACCGGCATCCCAAACATGATTCTTCTTCATCATCATCATCATAATCGCACTCCTGTCAGAAAAGGTCAGCAAGCAAGAACAAAAAGGTGGGGAAAAAAGAAGCATGCAGAGGTTGAAATGGAAAATATCAATGAATGGATGATGGTAACAATCTCACAAAATGACTAGAAAAACAAAATGACTCGAAGAAACTAGTGAGAAAGAGAGAGGTAAGGTCTCTGAGCACCAGGTGGTGATATATAACGTGAATGGTACCATTAAGTGATTTTTTTCAAGCACATTGTCTTAATTGCAATAATTACTGTTCATTTCATAATGATACCCCAGCAATGAAAAAGCTATGAATATCTATATTTGTGCCATTCAGCCAGATATCTTATTCAGCTGATGATTCGTAGAGTAAATCATATTAACAGCAAAGCCTTTTCTGTTCATAAAAGCATGGCGTTAAATCGAAGGTTATGTAACGAATCAGCTCATGGGGAAATATGAATAATTAATCATAACTAGTTATAATTAATTATGAATATTTAGATCCGCTGTAGATATTTACTTGACCTCTCAGGGTCAACTGTCTTGTCAATTCTAAGAACGTTAATTTCCTGGTTAAGGGAAATAACTTTCTTACTGTCCTGGAGCATTGGAGCTCACATCTTAACAAAACCTAACAGAACCCCCGCCCCGGGCGGGTCCCTGGTGAGAGGCCTTTAAGGTCGGAGAAGATTCCCGCCTCTCAAGCTGGGCTTGTCCAATGAGAAAGGCCGGAATCCAAAGTGGAAGTTTTGAGATACTGGGGAGTTTTTATGGCTCTTTGTGTGGAAGTATGGTAATTTGCATATGGAACTTGAATCGAAATTACTAAAGATTCTCAGGACACTAATATATTGCCTATGTACCAACATATAATATACATGCTCGTTTAGATCATCAGAAGGCGAATTCATAGATACTAAGCATGGTAGGATTATATATAGGAAAGATTGACAGGACGAGTGGTTCCCTCATAAGCCTGCATAAAACAGTCTAAAAATATCTAAGACAACATACACCATGACCTGAAGGATACACTGTTCATTCAAAGAAAGGTTTTCCTATGAATTAATTAGTAGAAAAGTCAATTTCTACTGTGCATTGTGCCTCTTGCTATGGAAAATGCAGTGAGAGTCTCTCTGCTCACATTCCTCTGGGCAATAAACACAGTGATATCCGCGTTGGTTGCCATGGAACCAGGGGCCTGTTAGGCTTCCTGGGGTGTTACGCATTTCGGAACACAGTGATATCCGCGTTGGTTGCCATGGAACCAGGGGCCTGTTAGGCTTCCTGGGGTGTTACGCATTTCGGGGGAAGGGTCCACAGGTCCTCATATGGCTTGTGTTAACAGGGGTGTTACAGAGTATTTGTTAAATATAGATAACAAAATATATATTGTGTGTTTGATTGGTCCAGACGCTACAGTTAATTACTGTGAATGGTGAAGAACATATCCGCGAAAACCAGTAGCCCCTCAATGCAGAACACAAGATCCAGGGGGCGTGGTTGGATCCACATCTAGGGGGTGGAGATTGGTAGGTTTAGGGGTGGAGCTCTGAGAGATGGGTAGGTTTAGGGGTGGAGAGGGGTGGGTTTAGGAATCAGGGGGTGGAGACGGGTAGGTTTAGGTATATGTAAGGTGGGAGGAGTTGGATCTGGATCCAACCACACCCCCTGGATCTTGTGTTCTGCAGTGAGGACCATCTCGCGAAAATGGCCAAAAACGCTGTATTATATATGCCAGGCCAGTAGTTGGAACTGTCACCTTGTTAGTAAAGAGTACCTGTAGGGAAGTGACAGTTATATGTTGTATATGATGGGTCTCCAGTGTTGGTTGTAATATTGGTGAAGTAAATCCACACTTTGCTGAAGAAGCGTTAGCAAACTCTTGAGCAGCAACAACAGTACCATGTACTCCGCTATTGTTGTGTATGTTTGTTCGCGCTTGCCTTTAAAATCGGCACGTACTGCGCATGTCTACTTACCGAAAACATTAAAAAAAATAAAACTAACACGTACTACGCACGCGCATGATGTCACCTATTTCAAAGATTCCTGTATTGGGTGTTTACATGAAAACGATAACGGTAGCGTTTTTAAAAAATATGCATTTTCAGTCCCCAAAACGCCATTGTCGTGTAAATGAACAGGCAAAACGCATAAAAAGTTCCCTGTTTCTGGCTGAAAATGCTGTCGTGTAAACGGCCCCTAACAAACATTTTTCAGCTTTTGTTAGCCTTCTCTGCACATTTAAAGGGACATTAATATAGAGAGACGAAGTAAAATGGTGGGAAAAGAGGGAGAATCAAGGATCAAGAAATGTTGCGAGCTGGCTTCCAACTCATATCAACCCCTCGAGGCAACATGGCACAGCAGATTGGAGCACATGCATCAAGACATGTAGGAAACATTATGGAGTGTGGTTTGAGCCCTGGGAACTTAAAGTTGACATATAATGAAAGTTCTATAATGGTGCTTTTCCACTGCATGGTACGGTACGGTTCGGTTCACTTTTGGGGGTTTTTCCACTGGGTACAGTACCTGGTACTTTTTTTAGTACCCCCTTGGTTGAGGTTGCAAGTGAACCGTACCGTTACCCAAACGTGATGTGTAAACTCTGCTGATTACTGATTGGCCTGAGAGAATCGTCACTACCTGCATCACTTAACTTGTGACACAAACACAACAGGTACGCTAGATTTAAATCAGCACAGCCGGAAGGATCGAACGCAACTGTTTTGAACGAGCGCACCTTTTTTTTAACAACCAAAAAATAGCTGTTTTGTGGTCTGTTGAGGAAGTTCAGACGTTCCTCTCGTTGATAGCAGAGGAGTGGATCCAGCGAGAGCTTGATGGGGCGACGCAGAATGAAAAAGTTTTTCAGGAGTCACGGCGCAACTATAACGACATGTGAATAATCCCCTCCACTCTAAAGCGGTACTAAACTGCAGTGGAAATGCAAACGGAGCCGAGTCGTGCCGTATTGAGCCGTGCCGAGCCGAGTCGTACAATGCAGTGGAAAAGCGCCATTTATGCATGTTGTTGGTTTTACTGTAAATAGTTCACCCAGGTATATGCACCTTTTTTGACCAAATAATTTTTTATTAAAATATCATAATCACAATCTTCTGGTGAAAAGACAGACTTCTCTCCGGTTGCCTATGCTGTACTTCTCCAGTAATTGAGTTTGCAATCGACTACAGGCTCGCATTCAGATCCATCTCCATCCAATTAACAACCACTGTATTGAACCAAGTAATTTTTCCATTTTTGTTAGCCTGTTTCAATCTGATGTACACTAAAATGTATTCCAGGTCTCTGTCAGTACCTCAGTCTCCAGTGATTGTATCTCGCGTGGGAGCTCCACAGCATGGCGGGTGAAATAATCCATGGTGATGGCATCATTCCAGTAGCTCAAGTTGTTCTCCTGAGTTGCAGACTTCTTCTTTTTCCTCATACAGCATACGGTAAGCAGCACGGCTGAAGAAAAGAAGACATATTAATATTCTATATCTAACTCTTCTTCATTTTAGCCTTAAGACCACATTCATCTGAATTTTGTATGATGAATTTCAGAAAGTTGTAAGCAAAAGCCACTAACCCACAAAGGGAATATTATGTTATCTTGTGTCTTTGGAAAAGTTCCTGTCAGTGCTGATGACAGAAAGTACAAGTTTCGAAAGCTGGAGGAAGTGTGATATTGGTTACTCACAGCATGAGGAGACAGGCACGCTTATGGCAAGAACCAACCACACAATGTCCATTTTGTCCAGGCAGATGGTGTTTTTTTCATGAGGAGGACCCAGTGCAGGACCCGACTGGTTCCCAGACCCCCATGGGCCTTGCGTGGTGGCTGGGACCTGCCTGTTCATGAAGCTCCCGCTAGCTGTGGAGGGTGCCTCTGAGATGTTCGAATCATTTGCTGCAGGCCATGAGGCGTCAGTGCTGTTGACAACATCTGTGGCATCATTTAAAGAGACAATAGAATCAATTGTCATATTGGTGGTTCCATCACCTTGGATTTCCACAAAGTTTCCACTCTCCGCTAAAGAAGTGGAATTGGACGTTGTAACATGGTTAGAGGGCAGGGCTAGAGCTGGGGGAGGAGACTGGATGCCAGTTTGTGCCAAAGCTCTTCCCACCATTTCCAATGGGAGAGTGGGATTCTCCATTGAAGACACGTCACGCAATGTAATGGTGTGCATCATTGCATGGTGCAATGATGGTGATGGTGGATGTTGAATGGGCTCCTTCACCTTCATCTCTCCAGTATCTGTAGTCCCCGAAATGTCCTCAGCACCAGGGGCCACATCACTTTCAGTCCCTGAGAGAAAAGAAGGACCCGAGCCAGAATTTGTGGCTTGGTTCACTGGCTTTATACTGATTGTACTTGGCTTGTCGGTATTAGTGCTAAAGTTCTGGTCTTGGGTTTTAGTGGTGAAAAACCCAGAGCTTGTTCTATTGACCATACTTCTAGAGGTCAGTTGGGGTGCTTCTGCTTCTGGAAGAGGGACTCTAGGTATTGCCTGATCCCTGGAACCAAAAGGATGCACCTCTACTGTTGTTGTTTGAATTATGGCAGATGGTACAGTGTTCTTCGGTGTCTGGAATGAGTGGACAGTGGGTCTACTGATGGCTTCTAGAGAGGCCAGTGACTGAATGTGCAGATCCCCAGTCCTGGAACCCTCCTGCCAGCTCAAGGGTCCCGGTGAGAGGGTGGCGAGGGTTCTGCTGCTCGTTGACATCGAGACAAAATCCCGAGGGGTTTGGCTGGGTTGAAGCTCCTCTGTGGAGAACACCAGCCCAACTGGCACAGACAGAATCAGCAGAACACCTGAGAAAGAAAAACAGGCTATGAGAAGAATGCAGACATAATGCATTTATGTAAAATGCTCAGTTTCACTGCACATACAGCACCAAGGAAACTTTTACTTCAAGCATTATTTAGTCCTAATGAGGTTCTTGCAGAACCATTCAGGGATCAGTCAAGTAACAATCTTAGCTGGGGCAGCTTGATTAGAGTCTGATGAGCTTTAATGAATGCTGGTAAGGTTACTACAGCATCTTAATGACATCAAATGTGGACGGGCCCTGTCTTATGGTTCAAAATTGGACACCACTGCATGCACAAAAACCATACAACTACCTTCTAAGACACCTGATGATCAGAGTGAGGTCATTGTTTCATCTGCATGCCATTTTAGTTGCTATAGAAACCAAGATTTAGCTCTTAGAAGGGGAAGGCGGTGAGAGATGAAAGAACAACATCACAAACAGTATCAAGCCATGGAGAAATCTGAGATCTACAAATTTAAATCAGATTGACACTAATCACTCTGAAGCCACTGAGAAGAAAAACAACACCACTGCTGTACATTTACAGTGCATAGCTGTGCATTTGTTGGTGGATGGGAAAGAAACAGAAGCAATTATTAAAGCCTTATTAGAGGTCATTCTACCATGAGAATTATTTTGAAACTGATATGTAAAGGTAAATAACTGACAAACAGTGCATTAAAACATCAGTCAGTGGTGAAATTAATTAATTGTTATTATTATTATTATTATTATTATTATACTGCTACTACTACTAGTAATACTAATATAAATAATTCTATATACAGTATACTGTATCACACACAAGGTGTACAGCACCTTCCAGCAACTTGACAATGCTAACTAGAAAAATTTAAATTTAGCATATAATAATATGAGCAAAAAGCTATACAATGGGTTTAACAATTGAAACAAACTTCTCTTCTACAATTTCCCTGCTGCATTGATCAACAAGAAGACAGCACATTTTTTGAGTAAATGTTAAGTGAATGGTAAGTTCCCTATCGATACTTCACTCATACTGCGTCTGCTAAGACACTATGGGAAAAAGTCATTTTTTTCTCCTGAACTGAAGCCTTTTTCAATAACGCAGTGTAACTGCACAGCTATTGGTTCGTGCAGTACACTTAAAAAACAAATCAATGGCTCGGCAGCAGTGCTGCACGAACCTATGGCCACGAAGCCTGCCAAAGCCCGCCCGAATGGGCGGGGCCAACTGGCTATATAAGCGGGCGCGTCGCCAGAGGATTCAGATTTCTTCTCCTTCAGTGACGATGACGTTCTTCGCTGATCTCCGCTGACTGGAGAGCCTGGTCACTGTTGACACGCCTCGCAGTGGAAAAGCGACCTCTCTGCTTGGCTGATTTGCCGCCTTCAGCACGCAGTGGACCAGCAGTGGTCCAGATTCCCCTGCCACCAACCGGCAAGCCTTACTAAGAGCAAATTTCTAAGAGCAAATTTTTGCAGCGTTGTTTCAAATGCTGCGCCGTTATTGCGGTATCGTTATTGCGATGACGCCCACCATGAGTGCGTTTCCTGCTTAGGGAAATCCCATGCGGAATCCGCACTCACTGAAACGGATTGTTCCCACTGTGAGAACATGAATCTCGCCTCTCTGCGCTTGCAGATAGCTTTCTTTTCAGAGAGTGACTCCGCCCCTCGCGCCCTCCCTATTTCTTCCTCCCAGGAGCCTGTGAGGAAAAAGCAGCGGGATCGCAGCGTTCGAATGCGAGTGAGCTCACGTCGGCTCAAGTGCCTCGCTCTCTCCACACAGAGAGGCTTCCCCCGTCCTCTTCTCCCAGCCTGATCAGTGTCTCTCTGCCAGCGCGAGCGATCTGGTCTCGTTCGGTGGGAGTGATGAGGAGCTGCTGGATGACAGCATGTCATTAGCAGCCTCGGATTCAGAGGAGCTGACGGGCTCGACTGCCGACTCGCCCCCTGCCGTCGTCAGAGCCCAGCGACATTAAGCCCGGGATGGACGCCGAATTACTCCGTGTCCGCTCGAAAGCCGTCGAGTAGCTGGGATTGGAGAGGTCTCCACAGGAGGAGCCCTCCCGCAGCCGTCTGGACGAATGGTTCATCCCGGGCACCGTCAAGCCCCTTGTCAGCGATCCTCTCCTTAAGATAAGGGATACGAGAAGCTGCCTCTGCTAGACGAGTCAGTGGCCACGCATCTCTGCCCGCCCACTGCTATCGGCTGGAAGGCAAAGGCCGCCCATCCATCCAAGCCGTGTAGGACGACTTCAGCCCTCGCTGGACGTGCCTACTCCTCGGCTGGGCAAGCAGCTTCGGCGCTCCATTCAATGGCATTCCTCCAGGTCTTCCTGGCCAAACTCCTCGCCAGCACGGACGAGTCTGGCCCAGACCCAGCATCATTCAGGGAGCTGAGAAGTGCGACAGACCTGGCTTTGCGCGCCACCAAAGCTACGGCTCAGGTCATAGGGTGTTCCATGGCCAGTCTGGTGGTGCTCAAGCGCCATTTATGGCTGACCTTGACGGAAATCAAGGACGCCGACAAGGTTCCCTTCCTTGATGCTCCTGTCTCCCCCACCGGTCTGTTCGGGCCAGCGGTCAAAGGCTTCGCTGAGCATTCCACGGAGGCAAAAAAGCTGTCCCAAGCCATACGACACTTCCTGCCCAAACGCTCTAGCTCTGCAGCTGCCTCTAGTCGCCCCAAGTCTGCGCCGACACAGCAGTCCGCAAAGCCTGCACCTGTGGCTGGCGTCACCACCCAGCCAGCCAAGCCTGAGCCTCGTCAATGTTCCCTCTCGGCCAAACGCTACCCGTTTCCGAAGCTCCAGGGACCCCGGCCCAAGATAGCGCTGGACCCTGCGCCTCAGGCGTCGTCCTGATCTACGGGACAGAAAGAGGACCATGCCCCCAAGCTGCCTCTCTTAAGCTGTCAATCACCCCGTCCAGTTCCGGGTGCAGTCAGCGATGTGTTTGCTGCAAACTCTGGGCCGTTCAAGTGCCCAAGCGGCGATCCACTGTTATAGCGGACAGATTAAACCCTGGGGTCGAAGCCCACACCGGTGCGGTCTGTCTTGTATTTTCTTTATGATCGTGAAAAGAACTAAAAATACTTCGTCATTTTTGTTCATACAAATAAGAATAAGGTATCGTTTGAAACTGCAAAGGGTCTACTTTTATTTATGTATAGTCATAATAACAACAAAACAATGTGCTTTTGTAAAATAAAGAAAATAAACAGGGTGCATTCTCCACCACATAAATAAAACGACCTGAATCTCTGTGAATACTTGCCTCAAAACATGAGAAATATATGTATAGAAAGCTTGAAATGTCTACTTTTAAATGAAGTAAGTTACGTCCAAAACAAATATACTGTGATAAAGTAATCTGTATGAAACCAACGTGATGTCCAGTTTTCCCGTCTCAACTCATTATCTCTAATGCGGTCTCCATGAGCCGATCGTGCTTTTCAGATTCTAAACATCCACGTGAGACGCGCGCACATGTAAATGCCCACATCGCCTCCATGTAAACAAACAAGTTAATCCCGGCTACTTTTTGGTTCTGGAAGAAGACGTGCTGAGAGAAATAACCCAAAATTTACCTCAGAATAAGAATGCGTCATGCAGCTAGATCCAGTGGAGAATATCACTCTGATGAGTAGCCTGAGATTACTTGCATCTGTTGTTATTGTGTTATTGTGACATAACTTGTACACATTTTACTAGTTAGACTTTTCCCAAACTATAATTCCTGACTACATGTATGAAATCAAGTGAAACATTTTGAAACGTCATTGTCTAAACATCTCATAACGCCAGGATGTTTGTTTAATGTTTTATAACATATAAAACCACAAGATATAAAAGTAGTGTTAACACTATTAGAGTCTAGGAATGTTTGGCACAAAGGTGTGTTACTGTTCAAGTCTCAGTGTTCAGATCAGTATGTTCAATCATGTGTCCTTGACATTCACTGTGTATCTTTTTATTATACTGTATTGTAAATAAAATACAAATAATAATCAAAAACCCACATTATTTTA